GCAAATATGAGGAGAGATTATTTGAGGAGAAGAGGGGGACATGGTAGGGGTTTAGGGCTTGAGCAGAACAGAAAAGACTTGGAACAGTTCCTGAAAGGAATCGGACAGAGACAAACACAAGTTTTGCCAGGCAGTATTGGAAGATCAGCTGTAATTAGATAGCATAAATTTGTATGGAAACCAACTGGCATCAAGTTACTTTTACTAGCAATTTTTAAGCTGTGGAGAGTGGAATCAGACAAAAGACTAACAAATGCACACGAGGCCTGGTACAGGGTTGATATCCCATGAGGATTTTCTGCTGTAGGTATGAATACAATTGAAATGATTCACCTCAAGGTACAGAGTGGATAAGGAGAACAATGTTGCTTCAAGGAAGTTGATAAACCAGGAAAATAGAGTTACTAAGTAACTAGTGGCCACAGAAGAACTTAGAGGTTGAGCGAGCAAGTGGGACAGATGAAAGGTCAGAAGATTGTGGCCAGAGAGAATTTCAGAGCTGAAGATTTTAGAAGCAAAGCAAACACATTCTGGATACACGTGAGATCCAAGTTGTGACTGTGCTGCTGAAAAGCTGAACGAAATGGAAAGCAAAGCCTACTGGAGCTGAGGTCAAAGAATGTGAAGCCAGAGTGGATGCTGAATGGAAAAATTAATAACAAGGATGTGGAAGCTATTGAGGAGGTGGAATGCGCCTAAAGTAGGTAGAAAATCTGTTGATCAAGAAAAAAGCCTGAAGGAAGCGGGTTAGTTCCTTCGGTTTGGGGAGAATGTGGTATAAGTGAAGAGCACTGCCTTACAATAGGAGGATAGATGTGGATGGTCGGGGGGCCAAATAGTGGGTTGGAAGCAGCCCTGGAATATAGGGAGCACAGTGTTCTGTAAGTTGGGCTGGTAGAAGCTGAGTGGTCTCCATCTGAAATGACTGGGAAGAATGTGTAATATTGTTGAAAGCACAAGATTCACTTTATGTTGGAAGTAGAAGGAGCAGTTGAGGATGTAGGATAAGTTAACTCCTATTAAAACACACATTTTAGAGATCACAGTTCATAATAGTGGCTAAGGGCCTTGCTGGATCTGGAGATGGGGAAGTAGAGCTGGACTGGGATAAGTTTGTTGAAGGCTGATTTTGAGTTTAGGGACCAGAACAGTAATTATGACAGGGACAAGGGGAAGATGATCATGAAAGGTAGAAGCACATGCTAATAGATATAAGCTGAAGAGAATAAGTAATGTTCTATTATCAGTGAACTATATGAAATTAAGCAACCTCAGGTTTCTTTTTTTTTTTTTTTTTTTGAGACAGAGTCTTGCTCAGTCACCCAGGCTGGAGTGCGGTGGCATGATCTCGGCTCTCTGCAAGCTCTGCCTCCCGGGTTCACGCCATTTTCCTGCCTCAGCGTCCAGAGTAGCTGGGACTACAGGCGCCCGCCACTATACCCAGCTAGTTTTTTTTGTATTTTTAGTAGAGACGGGGTTTCACCATGTTAGCCAGGATGGTCTCAATCTCCTGACCTCGTGATCCGCCCGTCTCAGCCTCCCAAAGTGCTGGGATTACAGGCGTGAACCACCGCGCCCGGCCACAACCCCAGGTTTCTAATTAAAATGTTAGTGTGTCCAATTGTGAATGTCTATTTGGAATGTTAGTGTGACTAATTCAAACACTGGCATGACCAATTGGAATGGCTATTGGAACTAGTGAAAATATTGTCTTCATCAGCTGGAACATTGGTATGACCAATCACAACCTGGTAGTTAAAATAGGGATTTTGGCCATGATGGAAGCAGAGTAGACTCTTAGCTTTCAAAAGAGATATATTGTGAAACTTTAAAAAATCACATCAAAGCAATATTTTGAATGCTGATCAGAAGACAAAACTGCGTGAATATCTTTTTTTTTTTTTTTTTTTTTAAGAAAGGGTCTCACTGTGTCGCCTAGGCTGGAGTACTATGGCATGATCACAGCTCACTGCAGCCTCAACCTCCCAGGTTCAATCAGTCCTCCCACCTCAGCCTCTCAAGTAGCTGGGACTATAGGCCCATGCCACCACGGGTGCCAATTTGTTTTTTTTTTTGTTTGTTTTTTGTTTTTTTTTGTAGAGACAGGGTTCCACTATGTTGCCTAGGCAGATTTCAGACTCCTGGGGGCTCAAATGATCCACCTACCTCAGCCTCCCAAAGTGCTAGGATTACAGGCATGAGCCACTGTGCCCAGGCTGAGCATCATCTTAAGATGTTCAAGTACTCAACAGGGGCTTTGTTTTATTAGTAACTGTCATGTGTCTAGGCACTGGCATCTGGTAGCTGTTTAAAAACATATTTGTTGAATGAAAGAATGAAGTCTCATGGAGGATGTTTTTTCCCTGAGATCTTAGTAGTCTAAAGACATTTTCTTGTGGACCTTGACCTGTGCACTTGTTCCTTTTCCCCTTTGCATTGGCAGCTGGGGGGCTCACACGTACATTATAGTCTATCTCTAGCTGTTTATAGAAGTTTATGGCATAGATTTTCTACTGACTGTAACTCTGACTTTAACTTATTTTCCTACCTGCTTTAATTTTTATGATTTATTTTTTAACTTGAAAATATCTATTTTGCAAACTGCCTAAAAACATTTTGGGAACAAGGTGGGTAGGCAGAAGGATAGAGAACTAGAGAATGAGGTAATAAAGGAAGAGAGGGAGGTAGGGAAAGGAAAGAAGGGGAAGAGAATAGGTGGTGTGGGGGATGATTATATCTTAAGATACTCATGTACTCAAGACTCAGAGAACTTACTGTGTGTGCCCTCACACTCAGGGAAGAACTGCTTAAGGCCCTTTGTGGCCTGCATAGCCTTAGCACTAGGCCCTGATAGGTAGTATGTGCTCAATGAAGTCTTGGCAATTTGAGTGGACATTTCCTGGGCTCACTGAATGTTTGTTGATTGCCTATTTTAGCGTGTTTTTTAAAAATGTCTCTTAAAATGCTTGGACTTCTTTCTCTGTTTGGGAAACTGTGTAATACAATAGACTAAAATGAGTTCTGGGGTCAAACAGAGTTTTGTTTGAAAACTAACTCTGCTGGCCGGGCGTGGTGGTTCACGCCTATAATCCCAGCACTTTGGGAGGCTGAGGCGGGTGAATTACTGGAGATCAGGAGTTCAAGACCAGCCTGGCCAACATGGTGAAAGCCAGTCTCTACTAAAAATACAAAATTAGCTGGGTGTGGTGGTGGGCGCCTGTAATCCTGGCTACTCAGGAGGCTGAGGCAGGAGAATCGCTTGAACCCGGGAGGTGGAGCTTGTGGTGAGCCAAGATCGCGCCATTGTACTCCAGCCTGGGCAAAAAGAGTGAAACTCCATCTCAAAAAAAAAAAAAAAGAAAGAAAAACTAACTTGGCTGCTGATTGGCTTGTGTCCTTGGCCAAAAGATTTACATACTCTCTCTTGGCCTATTTCCTCATCTGTAGAATTGGGATAATATTTACTGCCAACTCACTGGGAGGGTTTATTAAGAAGATGTATACAAAAGCACCAGCAGTCTCTGGTACAGGAGAGGCACTCAAAATATTTCAGTTCTCCAGTGCATTGGACACACTCATCTGGCTGACTCCTAGTGGCCAAGTAGCCTGTGCTCTGGCTGCAGTGCTCTGCCTCTGCCTTGTGAGCCAGCTTCCAGTCTGGCTGGCCCAGGAAGAGCTGGCCTCCTTAGTCCCAGAGCTTGGGGAGCTTATTATGCTGAGTTGCTGGACTTCTAGATAGATACCCATCCCCTCAGACTAGCAGATGAACAGTTTGTTGCCTGCCGTTCCCAGGTAGGCTGTTTCCCAGGCCGTTGGCCTGGGGAATCATGTATTCCAAGTCAAAAATTTCTGTTCTGCGTGGTTTGATTCATGATCTGAGGACAGTTCCAAATCTGTGACCTCGTAGTGGCTGAGTCAAGGTGTTGAGATTGCCATTCTTGTGCTGAGCTTGGGTTGCCCAAGATGTTACAAAATGGTCAAACCATGGCAGGATATTGCATATTCTTCTGTCCATTTGGCCCATTGCTATTCCTGGTTGCTGTGTCTATTCTTGCCACAACCTGTGTAGCCAGTGTCTACCATGTGCCAGGATTTTGGACCTTACAGGACATTGTCCTTTGCCAATGGAAAAAATATGTTGCCCTGGACTTTAGGAAATGATCCTGATTTTTGAGGTCCTTTATAATCATATTAGTTCTAAGTGGGTGTCTTGTCTATCATCTTTATTTTTTACCTTGTTTATGCTTATTAAGTGTTTTTATTAGTGACAGGTTTGTCGTCAAAGACCTGGGTTATTTGGTTATGTTCTGCTACTGTTCTAGTGATGGCAAGACTAGTAATAAGCTTCCTGGTCTGTTCTCACAATTGGGAAAGAACAGTCTTATTTACATTCCAGAGTGGCCAGATTATAATTTTGGAATAGCCCAGGAAAGATCCATCTCACATAAGATTCATATGTAATCATTCAATACTCTTTGGACATCTACTTTGTGCTCTAGCTCCTGTCTAGGTTCATTGCAGTGAAGTCCTGTATTCAAACATGTTGAAGACTGGGCTGAGCATTGGTTGAGCCCAGAAAGTGATCTAGAAATTTTGACTTTGAAAAAAATATATTGTTAAGCGTTTTTGTTTGTTTTGATAGAGAGGATCTGCTGCTTTGTTTTTTAAAAAAAATTGATAAATTTGGTTCTTTGAAAGTATCCATTCGCTTTTCTCGATATGGAAATAATGAATAATGGTCTCTATGGGCAAACATATTTGAGAAATGTAGCTCACCTTGTCTATCAAAGCATAGTGGGTGGTATCGGGGGTGTGCTATTCCTGATAGCCCAGCATCAGCCCAGGCCCATCCATAATAGGCCTGTGACTCATATGTACCAGTCTCAATTCTGTGTTGTTGAACACACAATTTAGGTATTGTCTTATGTGCTGTAGATGAAGCCAGAGCTGTTCTTATTGCCATGGTGGTTTCTGATTTCAAGATCTGTTTTTGCTTGCAGGAGCTGCTAAGCCGCACATCTCTTGAGACCCAGAAGCTTGATCTGATGACTGAAGTGTCTGAGCTGAAGCTCAAGCTGGTTGGCATGGAGAAGGAGCAGAGAGAGCAGGAGGAGAAGCAGAGAAAAGCAGAGGTGAGGGTGAACTTGTACTGTCTTAAGCTCAGACCTGAGAAGGCTGTCATAATGTGAATTTAGGCTGTCTTGTCAACTCCCAGCCTGGAAGCTATTGGGTGCCAGAAATATCTATACACTAGAGATGCAGTGATCTGTTAATACCAAGTTATCAAGTTTTGCTGTGGCTGCAAATTTCAGCAATATCCAAACCACCCAGTTTTGGCTCTAAGGCTTTATCTGCCCTCAAACTGCTGACAAGGATGGAAAGAGAAGCAATAGTTGGGGAAGAATAAGACAAAATATGGAGGGACACAAGATGTCTTCTGTGAGAACCAAGGAAATGACGACGTACCATAATGAAGTTGGCCTCCCAACAGCCCATTGTCACTAGATCCAAGGAGTCTGGAAACATTTCTTGACGTGCATTTCCCTGACCCAGGTGGAACCTCAGGTTATGTGTTTCTTTTCTCCTGATGGGTCTTATGGAGCGGCCATCTGAAGGCCTTCTCTTAGAGAATGTTTTCCTAATTTTGTTTTTCAGTCTTTGTATGCCATTGGCTGGAACATGCCAGACTTTTTTAAATAAATGTTTACAGAATTTTAGACTCAGACTCCTTTGAGAGCAGGCAGCCTGTTTTAACCTTAGATAACCGTCTTCTTGTGCCTCTACCTTTAAGTTCTTGTATTCACACCAACAATGAGAGATATGAAAGAAGATAGGTTTTAGGTTTAGAAACACCTTGCTCATTTACTGACCTAACTACTTGTTAGCGGATAACTGTGTGGTAAAGTCCAAATAAAATCATGAAAGTTAAGTACCTGTCATAGTATTTGGCATTTTGTCAGTACCTGGTATGTCTTCATCTCCTTCCTACATTTAGGCCAAAGACAGATATTGTTCCCTTCTGATAAGTGCCAGCATTAGTGCATACTGAAACCTGCCATGTTTGCTGAGTAAACACACTGGTGATTAGAATATTTCTAATGTGCGAGCATATTCCTTGCATTGCTTTTGAGAACATGTTCATTAATTAGAAGTACAGTTGCCAAAAGAAGATATCCCCAATAAGCTGAGAACAGTAGCTTGTATTGATTAAGAGTCCAGGCTGATGAATCAGATCTCCTGGCTTTAAACTGAGCTCAGTGGCTTTGTGATCTGGGGCAAGTAATTTAACCTCCCAAACCCGTTTCTTCTTCTGTAAGATGGAGGTAGTAATACTTCCAATTTCTTTGGTTATTCTGAGGAGTGAATGAGACAATGTATGTGGAACTCTTAGCATAGTAATAGTTAGCTTTTATTGATCACTTACTGATAGTATTGTTAAGCATGTTGGAAATGAAAATGTAGACATAGATATGTTATTTACATATTGCAAAGTTTACACAGCCTGAAAGCTAATCTGTGTGAAGTGTTAGTTGAATTAAATGTTCAGGGAGAAGTAACTGAATTTTCTTCTGGTTTAAAGTTATTTTACCAATGTTTCAACATGCATGATTGTATGTGAACACACATTAGGACTTCGGGGGCAGAATTCCATAAACTCTGTGAGAAGGCTTAAAGTGGCAGACACTCAACTCAAAATCAAGAAAAAAAGGGAGGAGAGAGACCTATGTCATGTAACTTGAAAAGTCTAGGGTTTAAAAAATGCAGTATGACTAGATCCAGGTAATCTCACAGTGTCACTAGAAATTAGTCTCAGTTGTATCACTTGGTTCTGTTTTAGCCTTGTTCTCAAGAAGACTCTCCCCAAGTGGTGACACAGATAGCCATTGGTAGCTCCAGAATGATATCCTACCAGCCAGGCAACTTCTGCAGTCAAAGAGGTGCTTTCTCAAAGATTCCAGCAAAAGCCCCAGGAGTGCATTTCATTGGGTCAATTTGGGTCATATACCTGGTTCTACACCAGCCACCTCTGGGATCCGTGCATGAGGGGTGGGGGGTGTGAGTATTAAAGTCAGCCCATCTGTGGAAGTATGCAGAGTTAGCACCAAGCTGGGATAATGCAGTCCTTTTAAAGGGACATCAGAAAGGAAGGAGAGCTCCCGCTTCTGGGATAAGAAGCACTAACACAGTCATCTTGCTGTTTGCTTTTTTCTTTCTTTTCTGAAGGATTATTTTTAAATCTGAATTTCTTGTTTTTGTTTTTCATTGGTCTGTTCATGCATAAGGCAACGTAGACTGTGAGTGTCTGGCCTCAATTCTACCAGATAACAGCCCTTTCCAGTTGCTAGTACAAATATTAGGTTTCCACGTGGAGGAATTCTGCAGGCTGTGCAAACCTGTGATAATCAGTGAGCAGCCACATGATCTGAAACAAATTCCTCATTCTTGTAATTGCACATAATCTTTGCTGGTATGCACAGAACTTCTACCTCTATTTGTGAGTATCTGGAGCACCAGGGGTTTAAAACCACAGGGTGCTGCTTAAGCTGCACTATTGTCATGTGCATGGAGATGTTTATTTTGAGTGAGACATTTTGCTAGCTGAGGTCATCAGATGTTGTAATTGCATGAATAAAGGGAATGCTGCTTTCCATACGTTACTTCAGCTGTTTTTTTCCGGTGAATGTATTTAGCTTAAGGGCTCATTGTGTATGGTTTGGAACAGGCAGGATTCTTTTTTTTTTTTTTTTTTTTTCCCCCTTAGGTATGAGGTAGCCAGATCTGAAATAAACCTCCTCAGCTTAGCTCAGGCTTTATCCTCAAATTCTGTTTTATGTTTTAATGAAAAGAAGAGAATGCTGGTGGCAAGAGCATTGCAGACTGCTCCTTCTGCTCTGATTCTGATCATAGCTCAAGCCAGCATCTTGCTGTTTAAGTTGTGGAAATGATTACTGACAGTCATTCTGTAAGACTTGAGGACTTGCAGGCACAGGTTCCTTGATGGCCAGCCTTGCTCAGGAATGAGTAGTGGCCCAAATGAGATTTGGATGAATACTAGGTTTCCTTTTTACCTTTTCTCATCAGCCTTTTGCAATGGTTCAGTGTCATGTGAGGGTACTGAAGACTGGATAAATTAGATGTACTCCTGAAAAGCAGGACTATGGAAGAATGATTGACATGGAAAGTAAATACCACAATAAGGAGATGGAGCATGAAAGAAAGAGATCCAGAGGTAAAGGGAAACCTGTGTGTGGACACAGATCAAAGCATTGCATAGGCGTGTTGCTCAGATGGGTCTTCTCTGAGAAAGGAATCTGGCTTCCCCATGCTGTGGGGGTGCCGGCAACCTGCAGCTGGACCCCACTGTGGTAACTGGAGGGTTCTGTGAGTAGTTACCAGAACAGCCTGTTAAGAAGGGAGCAAGGACCCCAGATATGCTAGGAAGGGGAGTCAGCCCAACTGATCAGGGGTACGTGTGAGCAAGAAGAGAACAGGAAAGAATCTTTAGGATTTCCTGCAGAAAATGGACACATCTTATAGCACAAGCGATGATGCCATCATTTCTTCTTTCTTGTGGTTAGGACCTTGGGAGAAAGGGATTCTGATTTCTGAACTGAGGCAACAGAATGATGGACTTGGACTACAGAGCAAGATCTGGGAAGATTGTGTTTGCTCAGAGATGAGCTGGCCTAATGAGGAGAGTTTTGTTATTCTTGCTTTTATTTTCTTTCTTTACTCATTTGCATCAATATAGGAAATATACTCCCACAATTCAAAAATCAAGAGTTCAAAAGGGCATATAGCAAAAGATCTCATTCAACACCTGTCCTCCAGTCAGCAGTCAGGAACCAGTGCCATCAGTTTGTATCCTTCCAGAGTTATATTATGTGTGGACAAGTACATTCATGTGGATACACACAGACACACACACTTCCCCTCATTTTTATACAGATGTTCACTATTCTAGACCTTTCTTTTTAAATTTAGTAGTCTTGGAGTTCTTTTTACACCAAGTATGTTTTTAAAAACTTCCTCATTCATATCTATGTCTGCATATTGTTCTACCATCCAACTATAGCCTAATTTATTTAACCAGTCCTCTCTCAGTGGACATTGAGGTGGTTTCCAAGTTTCTGCTATTACAAATAATGCTGCAGTGAATAATCTTGTATATATGTAAAGATATTGATGTGGAGTTTATGGGTCAAGGAGTACGCGAACTTGACATTTTGACAGATATTTCCAAATTGCCCTCTCTAGAACATAGAGGTTATATTCCCATGAGCAATGTAATGCATAAGAGTGCCAGGACAGTATTAAACTGAGCCTGAAAAAAGAAGAAAGAACTAAGTAAAATTATATACAAGATTAACAGGTAAGATGGAATTGGGAACAACTGTGATTACAGGAGGTGCTCAGTAGTTTCACACAGAAAAGAACCATAAAGAAGAACTTTAATGGTTGGCAAAGTGTGACTAAAAAACAAAGTGAGCTGAGATTACAACACAGGACAGCAATTATAACCTCATAAATGCCACCTAGACATCATGATGTGGGACCCAGAATGGAATAGAGCTACAAAAGGGTCTGCTTTATGGGAGGGAAACAGACCTGTTAAGAGAGGAGATGGGCCAGCCCTGGAGATAAAGAATTATGAAGCTAGGCCAGGTGTAGTGGCTCACACCTGTAACCCCAGTACTTTGGGAGGCCGAGGAGAGTGGATCACTTGAGGTCAGGAGTTTGAGACCAGCCTGGCCAACATAGTGAAACCCTGTCTCTACTAAAACATATGAAAATTAGCCAGGCATGGTATTGTGCGCCTGTAGTCCCAGCTTCTTGGGAGGCGAGACATGAGAATCACTTGAACCTGGGAGGTGGAGGTTGCAGTGAGCCGAGATCACGCCACTGCACTCCAGCCTGGGAGACAGAGCGAGACTCTGTCTCAAAAAAAAAAAAAAAATTATAAAGCTAAGTTGAAATGCCAAGCCTGGGGACAGACATACCATAAAACAGTGACAACACATGGCTCAGGAGAATTAAAGCAGAGTAGCCCAGAAGTTTTGGGTACACCACACGCTGAGCAGAGGGAGGAAAACAGATGTGTTCCTGATGCAGGTCTCCAGACTGATACACACAAGGGGCAGTGATGGAGGAAGGGGAGCAGCAACTTACTTGGTTAGCTCCTAAATGTCTCCCAGCTGAATTCTGAAGCATTTGAATGTTTACTTGTTTGTTTTTCTCACTTGCTTACCCTCTACTCAGAGGGTAGAAGACAAAACTAGGAAAACTGCCATTCTAGCTCCAATATTGAAGCAAAAGGAGGCACTGGTTTATGAAGTAAAAGTGATAGGTACCTTGAGAGAAAGTGGTCGTTGTTATTTGAATGTTCACAAGGGTGAGCACGGAAAAAACTAGGCATAAACAGACATGCACTGTAAACTTGGGTCAGTCATAACTCTGACAGTTTAAAAATAAAATGGATGGGGAACTCTCAAATAGAGGAAGACCCAAGAATGTTGAACTACTTAAATATAATTCTGACTGTGCAATCTCACAGATAATACCAATAAAAAGGAAGAGCTTAGAGGTGTCTTGAAAGGAAGTAGTTTTCAGAGGGGCTTGTACAAAAGGCAGAAAGGACATATGCTAAAGACAAAAGTGCACCTGCATGACCAGTGTCAGGAAGGGGACATCCCAAACTAAAGGATAATGCTGAGGACAACACAAAGCCACACACACACACACACACACACACACACACAACACACACAGAGTTATGTTCTTAATAAGAAAAACAAAGAAAAAATGGACTTGATTCCATGGATGCCTCTGACAGGTACAAAAAATTTAGGACAGTAGTCCCCCAAAGTGCTTGCTATAAGTTAACTTTAAGGAATCAGGAAAATCAAATGTTTCTAGAAAACTGGAACCATTTCCTTCTTGATTTTCAAAATGGCAAAAGTGTGATAGATTCAATAAATTTTAGTCTATTGAGTTTGGGGCCAACTCTATGATGGTTTGCAAGAAGCTAGGAGACAAAGTAGTGGGGATTGGTGTCCTCGAGGAGTGAGTCACATTAGATTGGCCTTATCAGTTTGGCCAGGAATGTGTCTTGTGGTAGACCAGGTAAATCCACATTTCACTGAAGTGTTGCAAAAACGTTGCTTGGGATAATCTTGTAGACAAGATGCAGGAATGTAAGATGAAGACACTGAAATAGCATATTGGTGCCTGACCGAGTTCAGAGTTTAGGTACATATTGTCATGGATAAGTGTTATGTGTGCCATATGTCGCCTGTGCATACGTGCTGACACACTGGGTGTTTGGGTAAGGGGAGTCAGTATGTGTATCATGCATATGTGGAGAGGGGATGTGTTTGTGTGTGTGCCCCGGTGTGCACCCACATCTGCTATTGTTTCTGCTTGGATGAAGGGTTTCTTCTAGACTCCATATTTCGGTGTTGACACAACAGTATGGCACAAAGGAGCTGTTGGGGATTTGTTTGAACTGCCAGACAGGCACCTGGATGGAGCAGGCCTGAGGAAAAATGCCATGTCTTTTGGTTCTGGTGAGGAAAGTGGAGGGCTGTCGACAGTGACCACTGGGTGCCACCTCCTCCCTGCCCCGTGCACCTCTGTGCTTTTCTCTTAAGGAGTTCTGCATCTGAGAGCTGTCTGACCTGGAGCGCTTTTCTCTTCTTTCTTTTCCTTCCTACAGTCGGTTCTGAATGTGATCAGTGAGCTGCAGGAGCAGATGTGTAGGCTGCAGCTGGACATCCACAGGCAGATTCAAGAGCGCCTGTTACACAGTAGGGACCACCCTGAGGAGGTAGCGGCCAGTGACGGTGTGGCCGAGTCCCAGTCCTGCGGCCAGGACTGTGCCTGTTGGGAGGGGTCACCTGTAGGAACCACACTTAAGTATACCAGAGCATGCGTGTGTGGGGCATTTCACTCGTGGAGGGGCTGGGGTTTCTCCTAACCAGAACAGAGTGCAGTGGCTTGGCATGGATCTGTTGTTACCTCTGGGCAGAGCTTGGACTCACTCAATCCTCTTGGGATGTGAAGTGAGTTCAGTGACCCTCACTGAGCAGGGTCTGAGCTGGTGAGGCCAACCCTCAAACAGGTGGCACTCATCTCCTTAAGGGCTGGGAATGAGGTGCACCAGGTGCTCTGAGTGATGGGGCATTTGTGCCACAGGAAGCCGCATGATTCCCCTTCCCATGTATATGACTCAGATCCTGATTCCTCCTCCCAGGCTGGGAGATTAAACAAAGTTTTGTTTCACATGATTTTTTTTTTAAGGAAAAAAAAGTATTATGAAAAAGAATCCTTTCAAGTTTATGTTTACCCCCAGTGAAAAAATAAAATGCAAGTTTTCATGTGCTGTGAATAATTAAGTCGTCATCTGAATTTCCAGGAAAAATCCCCCCCACGTAATCACATCAGGCTGATTTTATAACCACTGGGCCACGCAGGGCTGTATCTGACTGGGACTCTGGACTTGGCTCTCCACATGGGGATGACCTGGTCCTCTGTGACTTTGCTCATGGCAGGTGATAGCAGCTTCAGCAGAGACAAGCCTAGCCTCTAAGGAGGCCTACTGTTGAAAAGGACTTGGAAGCGCCCCAAGAAAAGACTGAGGTCACAGCAGCCATGAGTACTACAGAGGGTACCCTGGCTCTGTAGGAAGTTACTATGGTCCATACTCAATTAGAGAGCCTGTTGAAAATCTAGACATAGGTTTTGGGGGGAGAGATTCGGTGGGAAAGATTTCCTGCTGCATTAAAGGACAGGGGGAAAATAGGAAAGTCAAGATGTAAATGTAGATTTGGATAGAGAAGCCTTGAGAGGGTGTTGGCCCATGACCTATGTTGAGTAGGTTACTCCAGCAAGACTTTTAAAGGAAGGTAAAATGTGCGTGTACTCATGTTGGTAGTCAGTGATGGACAACAAGTAACATGGAAGGAAGAGGATGTTCCAGAGGTCACAGAGCCTGGAGAGGATGATCGCTGTGTACCCACAGTGGCAGCTCCTCAGGCAGTAGGAACCTGCATACTTCCGATTCTGATATCAGCTGGCCTGACACCCTCTCCAACAGACTGAGTAGCCTGGCTAGGATACAAGGCTGAGCAGAAGAACCCCCAACTTGTGGGCATTGGAGCCTCTCAGGCAGGGCCAATAATGTTCTCAGAGAATGATTCAGGGTCTGCTGCAAGTCAAAGCAGGTAACCAGTGATGCAGATCATGGATGCAATAGCCTTAGTTGAGAAGTTTCCTTTTCCTTTTTTTTTTTTTTTTTTTTTTTTTTTTTCCCAGCTGGGATTACAGACACTCATCACCACACTTGGCTAATTTTTGTATTTTTAGTAAAGATAGGGTTTCACCATGTTAGCTAGGCTGGTCTCGAGCTCCTGATCTCAAGTGACCCACCCACCTCAGCCTCTCAAAGTGTTGGGATTACAGGCGTGAACCACCGTGCCTGGCCAGAAGTTTTCTTTGTTTTGTTTTTAATGGGCATCAGCAAATGCTCACCTCAGCTAGAAGGCAATCTTAATAAATGACCCTACGAAATTCAAGGGTAAGCAATGTCACTTCGTAGTGGATGATCTCAGAAGGCCAAGACCTCCAGGCCAGTTAAATAATGACTTGAGTTTCATGTGTGCATTCATTGACAAATTGTGCATACCTACTATGTGCCAGGCACTGCAGGATAATCAGAGGTTAGCAAATGCCTCATGGAGTTTACAGCTTAGGAGGAGAGCTAGCTGTTAGCTGTCATACAAATAAATATTTAATTGCATATTATGTAGGAAGTACAAGAGAATATAGCAGAGGGGCCTGATATAGTATGGAGGTCAGGATAGATTTACTCAGGGAGACCTGAAGGATGGGCAGGAGTTAACCTGGCAGAAAATTCCAGACAGAGGGAATGTTACCTGCAAACACCTAAATTGGAGAGAGGAACTGAAAATTATCCATGTGGCTAGAGCATAACTAGGGAGAAAGAGTGATCCAAGAGGCAGGCAGGGAGGTGTCAGGTCATGTGTTGAAGTTTATGAGCTTTGAGAAGCATGGGAGTGCCATGATCTAATGTATGGTTTGATCATATCACTCCCCCAGATGCCACGGGGTCAACTGCTTTGAGAGGAGCAAGACAACCGAGAAGCAACCAATGAATTGACTGTCCAGGCTGTCAGTGCTAATTGCTAGACCAGAGTGGTGGTGCCTGAGTGGGAAAGAAATGCGACATTCAAGTCATTTTCCTGAAAGTAGAATTAATAAAACTTGGGGATGAACTGCATACATAGGGGAGGAAGGAGAGGGAGATGCTGAGGATAGATCCTATGTTTCTGGATAAGCTGTTAGATCGATGGATATGGCATTTAGTAAGATGAGAGTAACTAGGAGGGGAGTTGAGGATTCCACTTGGCACATGACGGTCCGGAGATGCCTATGAGCATCCATGTGATGTTAAGTAGGAAGTTTGTTGTATGAGACTGTAGTTCAGAAAGCCTATGGAAATAATTATCTTTATGCCAATTCTTCTGATGGGAGCTAGTCAGCAGGACTAATTGTCTGTTAAGAGAATCTTGGTTCAAGATAACAGTGCTTAGTGGAGTCATCTTTATAGAAGGAGTAGTTTCACAAACAAGGGTCCTGGAGTCAGAATATAGGGGCTTGAATTCCATGTAAGAGAAAATTGTTTGTGTCACCTCCCCACTCAGCAACCTTCAGTGACTCACTACTGTCCAAAGAATGGCATCAGAACTCATCATATGTATTCTCATCCTCAAGCCTTTACCTTAGGGCCTCACCTTAACTTCTCAGCCTCATCTTCCACTGTGTACCTACACCCATCCTCAGCTCCAGCCCCATGAGTTATCTCCCTTTCTGTCTCCTATCTTTACTCCTCCCTGGATGCTTTCTCCCTCCTTTCTTTCTTCAAACTATTATCTTCCTCTGAACTGGAACACCCATTATGACATCTATATTTGGCCCTTAACGTTTGTTCCCTTCGGGTTTCATTTTTTTCCTCTGTGAGGCCTTCCAGGATCACAGGCCCCTTCTTCTATCTTCCTTCACTCCCAGCACAGAGAGATGCTCCCAATTAGCCTGCTTCCTACTACTTTGCATCACAGGGAAGAAGCTGCTTCATTTCAGCAGCTCTGTTCTTCCCACTCCAAAGCCTCGCCTGCCTGCCTATACCCATGTGTGTGATGCTGGCATACCCCGCAGAGGACATAGATGTCAGAGAAAGGGGCAGGCAGAACAGGTTCTAAAACTAAAAGGAAAGTTTTCACTTTCTTATGTCTGGAATGCACTGGCCTTTGTTTTTTAATGGCCATACAGCTTTCCTGAAACAAGGGTCTTGTTTAAAGATTAAAGCTGCTATGTGGAGCTTGATGTGGTTGCTGCATCCCCTATGCATGAGCTTAACCAAGTTGGTAAATCGAGAGCACATCTTTTAACCATCAGAACTTTGTCTTTCTCCCTCATCCCTCTAGGAGTTACTGCAAGAGCTCAGGCACCTCAAAATCAAAGTGGAAGAATTGGAAAATGAACGGAATCAGTATGAATGGAAGCTAAAGGCCACTAAGGTAAACGGCACTCCTGATGCTTACGGAGAGAGTACGAGGGCCTTGTGGAGAAGGTCTGCATTCCAACTTGGGGGTTTCCAGTAGCCTAAGTTTGAAAATGCAAATCAGCCCTCCAGTGTGGACACACAACAGTGCCCAGATTGGGCAGCAGACAGACTTGATCCAGGAAAGATCCTCATGGAGAAAGCCTGTGAGATTATGAATTGCTCAAGTGTAGTAACCCAGTCTGCTTCCTCTCCCTGCACCCCATAATGCCTGGCTGAAGCTGGACCAAGAAGGGGCTAGGAGTGGGGGAGCAAGTGAGTGGCAAGCAGTGAGTCATGAGTCCTAAAGCAGATGTTGGATGCATCATTTTAAATTCAGTAGTCCCTTCTAGAATCAGTTTTTCAAAAAATAGGCATGCTTTATATTTGGCACAAAATATAATCCTAAAAATGATATAAGCTTTGAATTATTTCTTCAATCAAATCATGTTTCTCTTAAACTAGGGAGCCTGCAATTTAAAGGACACCAAAAATAAATTATATTGTGAAATAAATTTCTTCCGTCCCCTCTTTGTTTCTTCCTTCTTTTCCTATACTAAAGTGCAGAGATCAAAACTAGTGGGTTACATGTAGCCCATGAATTTTTTTGGCCTGCACACTGGATTTTAAAACGGTGAATTGTTATTTAAATTTCAGGAAGTTTACATTAGGCTACAGTTAGGTTTCCTTTGGGGAGTATGGGGAGATGGGAGGCTCACACCTGCCTTCCCCTACTGTGTCTGCAGTGCCACCCAAGGGCATTACTGGATCGTTTTTATTAGAATTTTCTTAACTTCTACTTTGTATTTTTATTTTTTGTGCAGGTTAATTGCTAATTATTATAAAAACAGTAACACACACTATAGAGAATGTTCAAAACATAAAAAATTAAAGGAATCAAAAGCACTCATACCACCCAGGTACTACCAGTGCTAATATTTCCTTCCATGTATTCTCTTCTGTTTTAGGTCTGTGTCAGGCCATTCTTGCATTGCTACAAGTAAATAGCTTAGACTAGGTAATTTATAAAGAAGAGGTTTAATTAGCTCAGGGTACTGCAGGTTTTACAGGAAGCATGCTGGTCGCATCCGCTCAGCTTCTAGTGAAGCCTTAGGGAGTTTTCAGTCATGGCAGAAGGCAAAAGCAGGAGCAAGTGAGAGAGACGAGAGGAGGTGCCACAAACTTTTAAACAACCTCATCTCGTGAAAACTCACTCACAATTGCGAGGACAGCACCAAGAGGGTGGCACCACCATTCATGAGAAATCTACCCTCATGATCCATTCACCTCCTGCCAGGGCCCACCTCCAATACTGGGGGTTACAGTTCAACATGAGATTTGGCAGGAAGAAATATTCAAACATCAGGGTCTCCCTATCTCTGTCTCTTAATTTTTATTGTTGATAATTTATATGCAATTTTATATCATGCTATTATTTAAAATTTTATGACTTCTCATGTTATCAAAATAAAGCACTGAACATATGTAAATATGTAATCTAGTGTATACATGTAAAATAATTTGATTAATCATTTTACAGATAATGAAATGGATGCACAGAGAGATTTAACTTTCCCAGGATTTTACAGCTATTTGGTACCAAGCCTAGGCAATCAGACCCATCTGTGTCCTGGCCTGTGTGTATCTGAGTGTAGTTGTGTATGTGTATGCTTCACAGGCACCAGCTCTAGGGGCACTGGTTTTGTCCAGTAGCTCAGAACCTTCCATCACAATGCCCCACTCAAACAAGCCCTGTCTTGGGGAAACCTTTGAAGTTGTACACCCTCTGTCATAAAACCAAATAATACTTTTCTTTTTAAATTACCCCAGCTCTTTGCCTTGGCATGTAGACCTTTGAGATGCTAAGGGTTATTTAATAACTACCAGGTGTGGAGCACTTCCTATGTGCCAGAATGTACCAAGCTATTTGCACACATTTGATCATATAATCCATAAAATCACCTAGTGAGGTATATGTTTTTTTATTCTCACTTGACTGGGAAGGAAACAGAGGCTCAGCATGGCCAAGCTGAGGTTCACATCTGGGTCTGTGTCATTCCTGTGCCTTCATGTTGTTTCCAACATCATCCTGATTCCCTGCAGAGAAAACCAGCACTGTTTTTGGAAGTTTTTCACTTTTCTGCTTAAGGCCTCTCAGTCCCTGAAGGGGATTCATCTCCCAGTGCAATGACAGTAGGGCATGGTCCCTGGGTTTAATGAGGCACAGCATCTGCAGGGACTCAGACAGTAGCATACACAGTCAAGTGGCAGTAACATACACAGTCAAGTAGGTCTCTGGAGTATTCTTGGCCTTCCCAACTGCGGGGACAGAGATCGTTCAAAGGATTACAGAGCCCCTATAGAGTCTGGCCTATTTCTGTGGAAATTGGCACAAGGCAGGTTGGACCCAGTCACTTGGTCTGTAGGGTCCATTGTATATACCTACAGGACCTCCCCTAGAGGCAGGGCTCAGGAAGAAGAGCCCTCATAGTGCCAGGTGCTAGATTCTGTCTTGATCAGTCCACACTGCTGAATTCCCAACTGTGGGGCCAGCAGACAAGCATCAGGTATCCAGATTTCTGACAGAGACCAGTGCCCATCTTGTCCACAAAGAAAGGGAGAAATGGGTGTGGAGAGGTACAAGAAAAGTTAAAGGAATATCTTTCAAGAATCATCTGGCCTTTGTAGAAATGGATGTTGAGACTCCCAAAGCTAATATCTTCAGAAGCCATTGTCACCATGAGTCATAAGCCCATGGGCATCTTTGCCTTGAGTGAGCTCTGATAAACTGCTCCATAGCTGCATGTCTCAGCAAGCGGGTTGCACAGCAGGACCCAGCTCTTGGCCTCTGTGAGTAGAGGGGCAGTGCTTCATTATGAACTTTGGAATAAGGAAACCCTACCCCTTGTCATCTCTTTATATGGTCATCCCTGTCCTATTTGGGGGATGTTAGGGAAGGTGATTCAGAAACCCTTGAGGTGAGCTCAGGGAGCCCAAGCCTGGTAAGAGTGGCCTTCATCTGTCCTGTTAACTCAGAAGCAGACATGCGGTGGTGGGTGGAGCCCTGACACTGGAGCAGGCAGGCCAGGGTTTGCATCCTGGCCTGGTCACCAAGTAGCTCTGTGACTTACACAGAATCTTGTATTACTCCCGTTTGCTCCCTGATGACTTACGGAGATATTGTTTCCTCCGGTGGTTTCTTGTGAGGATTTGATGTAAGAAAGTGAGCGCAGGGGCTGATCAGGGTGGGTGCTCAGTCTTTGTGCTGAAACTGAACACAAGGCCTGTCCAGCAACAGAGTTGCCAACAGGGCCAGTATTCACTTAATTACTTGGGGTTGTTCAAATATTAACTTGGGCCTTTGTGGAAATGAACAGCTCATACTATGACCTTCAGGACCAAAGGTGGGACATGATAGGGCCAACACATGGGGAAGGGGTGGCCAGAGGAGAAGCCTTTGCTGTCTTTTATTGACCAACTCCACATTCGATGCTCATCCCTTTTCTTACCTGGTTTGATGCAGAGAGAATTGAACCAATTATCCACAAAGAAAAGAATAGGATGAGAGGAGCAAATAGCAGTAGCATTTATTGAGCTCTTAGTGTATACTAAATATTGGACTAGGTCATTCATAACCATTATCTTAAGCCTTATTGCAGTCCCATGAAGTAGGTGTAGTTTTTCCCATTTTATAGGTGAGCTGAGACTCAGAAAGGTTAACTTACTTGCCCAAGGTCACCCAACTAAAGAGAATCAAGGTTTGTTTGACTCCAAAATCCAGGTACCTCTTGGGACAGGACCTATACAATCCTGATCTCCTAATGAGTATGGGAAAGCATGAACAACCACACCTAGTGTTGTGTATGAAATTTAACCTGCACTACTTAATTGCGACCTGGGAACCATCTAGTGCAGCTGCCTGTGTGTGTGCAAATATGAATGTATGTGTGTACTTATGAGCTGTGTATACATGCTTTTTTGCCACAGTATGTAAATTAAGCACTCCTGAATGTTTGTACATCTATATATGAGTGAACATGCACACATGCCTGGACATTGGAGAGAGGCAGTGACTGTGCCCAAAGGGTAGGAGCGTGTTGAAGGAGGGAGCCCTTGGCTTACCTTTTCTCCACCAGTGGTGATTTGGCTTCTGCTGTATTTTCTGTGTGGGTTGGAAAGATGAAAGCTGCATGCACTTGTTACAGTGGTGTCTCTAAATGTTATTGCATGAGTATCTTGGGAGAAGGAAGACCACATCCAGAATATCCTCCTCTGCACCAAGGACAGCCCTCCCATTGCACACAATCCCAACTCCTCATCACAATCCCAGTCCTCACAGGGCAGGGGAGAGAAAACCTGGTCATGTAGGAAGATGCAGGGGAAGAAGCACATTGATGTCCAGAGCTGTGGGGGAGGGCCAGGATGGCCTAGAAGAGTGAGTTCAGTCAGCAGAGTTCCACCTGTAGAGAGGGCAGTGAGCCCCTGCTACTGCTCACCTCTTCTCCTAACTCCTGATTCACCCTGGTGCCTGATGGGCTCTGGACTCTGACGAGAGGCACTTCATCATGATTTAGCAGTCCTTCTGACCTGGTAGGGATCCTCTGTTGCTTTTCCAGGCTGAAGTCGCCCAGCTGCAAGAACAGGTGGCCCTGAAAGATGCAGAAATTGAGCGTCTGCACAGCCAGCTGTCCCGGACAGCAGCTCTCCACGGTGACCACACAGAGAGAGGTGACTAGCTTGACTGTGACAAAATGCAGTTGTCTGGGTCCCTGGGCCTACTCTTATAAGTGAGCCTGTTTTTCTATAAATGAGTGTGCATATGCTTGTGTGTATAGCCATGCTAATGGACATGCATATATGTGTGCAAGCATGGCCAAGTGAATGGATGCACCAGTTTGTGTGTTTGTGTGTATCCCTATAATGCAGCACTATTGTGGAATCATTCCCATGGAACTCTCCCCTAACTAGAAGGCTTTTTTCAGATGCACAGAAGTTCTGTGCAGCCACCTCTGGAGCTTTTACTGAAAATGCAGGAAATACCTAACTCTCTCATTTGATTGAAAGGCCTTACTTCTGTATCATCACCAAAGGGGAGGCTTTAGCAATTTATTCAGTCGTTTCATGGAGATCTGCCTGATGCTTGTATAAGGCCCTGAGATTACAGAAACAAGTCAGTTCTTTTTCATTCTTGAGGTTTCAAATCTTACCTCTCAGAAACACCTTTCCTGGCCACCCTAACTCAAATAGGTGGTCCCAGTCCTATTATTCTCTAACTCCATATCCTTTCTTTTTCCTGCCTAGCACTTATTATAACTTACCAGTGTTGTGTGTTATCCCCACTCTGGGGCAAGGACTATATGTTTCTTGTTTAAGAGCGTATCCACAAAGCCCAGCACAATATTCGGCCCATTGTAGAAATATTTCTTGTGGAAATATTTCATTGTAGAAATATTTCCCTAAGAAATATTTCTTGAATAAGTGAAAGGATGGTGAATGGTTCCTGAGGAGTTCAAGTCTTGCTGATCAAAAATAGAGGATAAATCCTCAACTACTGTAATAAACACATAAATCTTTATGGCTGTTTGCCATGTATACAAAATGATCACACACCTTTCAACTTCTCCACTCACTACCAGGCTGCAGAGCAATGCTGAAGATCATATAGTCCTACGGGTTGGTGTCACTACCTAGTCACATCCTGGCCTCAGCACTGTTTAGCTTGGATCCCCAGTTGGGGTGTGGAAGCCATGCAACAATGGCTTAGGCTGGAGAAGGAAATTAGTTATCAACATGCTCATCCCTCTCCTAGCTTTTCTCAGTGTCCGCCCAAGCCATTGGCTGTGTTGCCTACCTGCCAAGGCCTGCTTGTAGAGGCCGGGCTCTACTAAGACAACCTGGACTATCTCTGATGCTAAGCCTGGACAGAGAGTGCCCCATGTCATGACTTCTAGGCCAGGCAGCCTTCCCAGTCTACCCCTCCTCCCCCCACAGTCTGAGCCTCCCAGGCCCTACCCCACTCCATTACTGGGTACTTTCTAGAGCTGGTCCTTGGGTCATTTGCTGTCGAAGTTAGGTTCTGACCAGTGGATCAGGGTTTGCCAGTCTTCATATGAAGCTTACTGCCCTCCCCAGCAAAGTGAGCTGCAGAGCCGATATTAGCTACCCAGAGCCTAAATAATGAGCAAGCGATTATCCACTTTATTCTGAAAATTCATCTCCACAACTGTTTACACAAAGTCCATAGATCTACTGTTGCTATTCTTGTTAGATGTAACAAGCATCCCAAAAGAAAATGGGAGGCCTATATATTCCCTTGACTCCTGTACTTTTTTTTGATATAGACATCCCTATTCCCATTTAGGAGGAGGCATAGATCCTTCTTTGAACAATCTAGCTACGTGCCAATTCCTAGAGTATCTGGCAAATGACCTCCAGCTGCCTTAGGCTCTCCAAAACAGTTAAGGAATCAACAGAGTCCCTGTTGGGTCCAAACTGAGAGAAGGCTGCGGGTTTTCCACTGCAGACCGACAGATTTCTCAGCCCATAGGGAAATTCTGGCTTATGATGAAATAAGATTGTTTATCCTTAACCCAGCATTTGCATATATGTATCTATCCCAATACATCTAAACATTTGTTAGTCAGTTTTGACTATATCATTTCAAATTAAGCCAAGTACCAACTCTTTTACATAATTTTTATTTCCCAGTCTTCACTCAACTGTAGATTCTTTTAATGTTAAATTCTCCTCTTCCTACGATTTGTCAGACTGTATGATTTTCTTCAAAGCCAGCCAGAAGCCCAGGTACATGCCTACTCAAGTTGTAAAGGATAAAAATGTCTATATTCTTAGGAGATGTTGGTTTTGAAAGATCTGTGTCACCTCAAGTACATGGGCATTTTGATTTTGCCCATAAATGTCTGTAAAGAGAAGACAGCATACTGGATTCCTTCATTTAGTAGTCTAGCAAATATTTAAAGAGAATGAGTCTGTGGCAGACACCATCCTGGCCTCTTTAAAGAACTAAAAGAGCCATGTTCACATGGAAAGTCTTCATTTGAACTTGGGAGGCATCATAGCAAGTGTGGATAGCTGTTTGCATTTATATAAATAATTATTTCTATACCCGAATTCTTTTAGACCAAGAAATTCAACGTCTGAAAATGGGGATGGAAACTTTGCTGCTTGCCAATGAAGATAAGGTGAGATGGTCATTGGGTAGCCTTGTCTTTTCCATGCTTACATCCCTGGCTCTGTTTGGTCCCTGCTGGTCTCTGATATTCTGGACAGGGCCATACTTATTATGCCATTGACATAGGGGTATGTCAGGAGAATGACTTATGCCTCCTAGAGACCTGACCTCAGCCACCTGTTTTTAGCTTTGAGAAATGGAAAGTTTGTCTAAATGGAATCTCCTAAAGGCAGATTATAGCCCTGCCTGTTCCTGCTGGTGTGGGGGGAAAAAAATACTGCTGCTGCTGTGATCACTGCCAATATCATAGCTCTTGCTGGAATTCCTAGCAAAATAGCCCCCCCAATCTCCCATATGCATGATCTGACAATAGAACCATCATAGAGACACTTGGCAGCATGCTGTGCCTCAGTTTACTCTGCCATCTTATATCCTTTGCATCTAATTTTGGCACAGTCATAAATAGCCACCTCTATAAATAAAGAGTACCTGGCTGGTATAAACATCATCTCTGAGGATCACAACCCTTCATTTTACAGATGAGGAAACAGACTCAGAGTACTTAAGTAATTTGGCCTAAGGTCAGGTAACTAGTAAATAGCACAGCCAGCTTTCACACCCAAGTTTATCTACGACCTGTGTGGTCTCCCAAGTTCCTTTCAAGGCCTTTGCCTTGAATGAAACAATCTTCTCTGGGAATTTACTCTGCAGTATGAGGTATCTCAGACTCCTAGGGAACAAATGAGTATATTGGGATAAATATGACAGCTTTATTTTAGTCTTTTTTTGTGTCGCTCCAGTGGGCAACACTAGGACCAGGAGGCAGATTTCAATGACCACTTCAGGAAGGTAGGAAGACAGTGAGTTGCGTGCTTCTGAAAATGTTTAAGCCCTGTGAAGGGTGTCTCAGATGACTCACAGTCTTCAGGTAGAGTCGTGAATGCCTGCAGATGCCTATGAGGCAGACCACTGAAATCCCAGCTCTGTGGAATGGGGCCTGGACACTCTTTTCCTTTGGTTCCACGTGGGATTTCTTCTCCTTGTGCCCAGAACATAGCGTGGGTCCCAAAATGAAATCATCTGAGCTGCCAGCGTAGCATTAATCTAAATCTCTGCTCACACTGTGGCAGGACCGTCGGATAGAGGAGCTTACGGGGCTGTTAAACCAGTACCGGAAGGTAAAGGAGATTGTGGTGGTCACTCAAGGTAAGAGCAAGGGCAATCCTATCATTGTCTCTGAAAGATATTCCATCAGCTGTGTTAAATCCAGGGGCAGTCCTGCTAGCAGCCGTTTCACCTCTATTTCGGAGAAGACTCCCTACTGGAGAACAGAGCTGTTTAGACTTTTCTGCATGATGAGAAATTAGCAGTTGTTGATTTCCAGAAATATTACCAAATGGAAGTCAGCTCAGGGCCTTCAGGGACTATCCAGATCACCAAGAATATAAAGCCTGTGAATTCCCCATCCTTGGAGGGTCTCTTATGCACCTTCCCAGGACACACCTTAGAGGCAGCAAGTGCAATTAAACCTGGATCAAAAATCAACTCAGTGCTGTCATTGAGGATTAGAGCTCATCCACCTCCTAGAAAATCTAAAGCTCCGCAGCAGACTCAAAGGGCCCTCTGGGAGCCTTCTTCGAGTTGCTGGGCCTGAGTTGCTATAGGAAGTCACAGGACAGAGAGAGCTGCTGTGTTTTATATTTGCTGCCCAGACTGAATGCAACATGCAAGCAGCATCAGGGTTCTTATGGGCATAGTGGTGCATGTGCCAGGCTGCCTTCACTGTTCATGCCATTGACCTGGGCTCCCATCATAGATCCTGAGGAAGCAGCTGTTTCACAGCACAGGGCTGCTTTGAAGGATATTCAGGAACCTCTGATTCTGGCTGAGCTTCTGCCTCTTCTTGGGAAGAAGCCAAGCCTCTGCCAGGATGTGGCTGACTGGTCACTGACCAGGGCCTCTGCCAGCCCTCACACACAGCCCTCTTTTTTTTTTTTTTTTTTGAGATGGAGTGTCACTCTGTCACCCAGGTTGGAGTGCAGTGGCACAATCTCAGCTCACTGTAACCTCTGCCTCCCAAGTTTAAGCAATTCTTATGCCTCAGCCTCCTGAGTAGCTGGGATTACAGGCACCTGCCTGTAATTTTTGTATTTTTAGTGGAAATGGGGTTTCAACATGTTGACCAGGCTAGTCTGGAACTCCTGACCTCAAGTGATCCACCTGCCTCAGCCTCCCAAAGTGCTGAGATTATAGGCGTGAGCCACTGCACCTGGCCTCACAGCCCTCTTTTTAAGATCATGGATCAAGCCACTCTCAGGGCTTTGATTGCCTGTAGCTAAGGAGTGAGAAGTTTGGAGGCAGGGGGTACCTTACCTCTGTTCTGCAAATAAACTTTGACCTTGAAATGATCCTGATGCCAGCCCTTGCTCAGATGCCCTGAAGATTCTTCAGAATCACACTCTTACTGTCCCTTTATATATTTCTTAGTCCTTCTTAATGAAGGGGAAACAATGTTAAAATTTTGCGGTACGATTATAGGTTTCTAAACAATTCACGTAGTATGAATTCAACAATTCACTCTTACTGCATTAATGCTTGCAGGGCCTTCAGAGAGAACTCTCTCAATCAATGAAGAAGAACTAGAGGGAGGTTTCAGAAAGTGGAACACTACAAATAAGGGCCCTGAAGAATTATTTAAACAAGAGGTACTGTGTTTCCATCCATGATGTAGGGTTTCAGTAGCTCCTCCGAGCTTGCCCTGAGCTTGAGGGAGGATCTAGTCAGACATGTGTCAGGTACATATCTTGGCAGGTGAATACTTAAATTTAATAAAGTGCCCCTCAGGCTGTGGTGGGGATAGGGGAGCAAGAGGCTGAGGCTCTGGCCTGTGCTCTGGTTGGAGGCAGCATGGTGGATACTGGAACTTTCAAGGATAGGAGTTCTTCTTTTTAATCAGGCTGCTAGTTTATTTTTATCTTTTTTTTTTTTTCTCTGGAATGTAAGCATAGACCAAAGGTGGTGTTTGATTTATCTACCACCCTTTCTCCAAGGTCTGCAGTAATGCCTGATACCCAGTAGAATTCAACAAATATTTGTTGAATGAACGAACATGTCTTGCTCATTTAGAGGAATCAACTGCAACCTCTGAAATGCTGCGTTCCTTCCTGACAGATATGCCCTTCAGCCCCTATAGCCAGGACACAGATTTTCCTTCTCATCTATTTCATTTGTTTAAAATCTGGTCCTATTGTATGACTCTCTCTAGACTTAAGCTAGATGCAAATAAACAAAACCTCAGGTGAAGGAGGGGCTTCAGCCTAGGGTCCAAAAGATTCCTGAAACTTCAGACTATCAAACTGAAAAGAATCTTAGTGCTTCAGTTCAACCTTTTTAATTAAGGAGCAAAAGCATCATCCAGTGAGCCAGTTATTGACTCAGAACAAGCACACCAGATTGCTGGCAATTACAGAATAGCGGTGTCCAAGTCTTACTGTATACCTCCATGTGGTCACTGTGATGAACAATCTATCTGGCAGAATCTGGACTTGAACCCAGGTCTGACCACAAAGCCTAGGCTTTTAAAACTATACTATAATGCCAGGGTTGTTCTTATAGTAGACCAAGAGGATGCTAGGATCTAGAGAAAAGAGGCAGTACTGGAGACTGTGTTCTTTCATAACCACCATTAGCTCAAGGTGGCTCCGCCTGTGATGCTAGGTGCACTACTGAAGGCACAGTGTTGTGCTAGGTGCAATACTGAAGACACGGGACTGTATTCTTTCATACCATCATTAGCTTGTGGTCGTTCCACCTGTAATGTTCTTTCCTTTCTTGCTTTAACCAGTTTTCATTTCTCAAAATTCAGCTCAGCTGTTCTCCTCTCCAAAGCTTTCTCAGCCTTCCCATCAGTGAGAGGGAGCCCCTCTCTCCCACTATTCCCATATTGTGTTACAGGTGTTGGAGCCAAAAGAACATTGCACATTGTTCTGTTCTCCTAATTTACTTGTCTGTCTCCCAGATGTGAGGAGTGCTAGCTCCAGACCTGGCACAGGGCCTGGCAGGGAGTAGATGTTGCTGATGTTTATTGGGTGACCATATCAAATGGGATTCTCTCATTGAAAGCAACAAAATTTGGCTCTGGCTAACCTAAGCCAAAAAGAATTGTTTTTAAAAGAGTGTGCAGTGGCTTGCTGAATGAAAGGAAAAGCTGAAGAACCAAGCTCAGGAAGGGAAGGAGCAGAAAAAGCCCAAGAACCCAGGTCTCAGGACTCTACTGCTGGGATATGAACATGATCTAAGCTCTAGGGCCCAGGAAGGAGAGGCAAGCTGGCCCAGATGGACTGATAGGCCTACCACGCCCCCTTGGCATCTTGAAAGAGCAAGGCATCTATAATGATGTATCCACTATGGCTGTACCCAGGGAGGAAATATCTCCCTAAAAGGAATCATGTAAAGAAGGGGGAAAGATGGTGGGTGGTCCCCAAACAGACTGTCCTCTACCATGACTCTTCTGTCTCTGATGCAGATGCCTCCGAGATGTAGCTCTCCTACAGCGGGGCCACCTCCATTGCCACAGAAATCACTGGAAGCCAGGTAAGAGACCTGGGCATTTCCCCACAGCAAGTGTGCTCTCAGGCTTGCCTTGGGGCTGCCGAAGTGGATGGTGAGGGCCGTGAATGGTAAGCATGGCCACTGCATCCTAGGTGCACCTGCCCATCTGTTGTTAGGGCAGTTACAAACCAAGCCTACCTCTTTTGGCCACAGAGGGGCTTCTCATCCTTCAGGCTGAGGGTGTGGATCATTGTCACTGAGAAAGGATCTGGCCAGGGATTGGAGCGTCAGAGGAGAGGTGGCTGCAACTCATCTGTGTCTTACGACAGCTCCTCAGAGCTGAGAGCATCGTGTGATGTGTGTTGCTTTTGTCAGCCTCTGCTTCCTGCTCTTAGAGCGAATTTAGCCCTTTGGCAATCAAAGCTCTCCAGGGATGGCCATGTCTTCTCATAGCAATTGGTCTAATTGCTTTAGGGATGCTTCACAACAATGAACTAATAATGGGCTCACCTCTGAGGTCATTTGACTGCCATCTCTCTTGTTCCCTCTAAAATAAACCTAAATCTAGTTCCCTAGGCCTGCACTTTAGCACACATTTTGAAATTGAGCCCCATGTAAGGGTAACATGGAGGCTTCACTACAAAGAACAGGCTGCCTTTCAGCTAAGGTGTTGGGGCAGATGACCACAAGCATCACAGAAACTCCCCAGAATGGTGCTGAGTCTCCAGAGCCTGCACTCTGAGTCCACTTTCCAGAAAGCAGTTGTTCCCTTGAGCCTTTAGCCCAGAGGAAAATGGTAATGTTAAAGAAGTTGATCAGGCAATCCTTAGTTTTGGAGAATAAGAATTGTGGTTTATGAGTTCACTGAGGGAAGGTCAATACCAAGGAACTCAGACTGACCAGATTTACAAGAGACCAATATTTGTTTAAATGATGACTTATTCGTATAAACTGAGAAATATGACTGCCAAGGAGACTTGGCACAGGTTACCCTTGTGACCACTGGTGGCATTGCCTCTTGACACATTTGGTGCCCTTCTCTGCAAAATAGACCCTGAAAGAACCAAATGAGTCTAAGCAGACTAGATGGGCATGCAGATCCAGAGCAGAGTGTGGAAGGGTCCTAGCAGGTGATATTCTAGAGCCATGGCTGGCTAATGTGTTCATCTGCACTCTGAGGAGGCCCAGGTCCCTGCTCCCTGGTGTCTGGATTACTCTTAGAATCAGAGTAATCAGTGCCTTTCCGCTCTTTTGACACTGTAGACCTTGGTCTTTTATGACCACACAATTGTCACCTCAGTGCAGCAGAATTGAGTGTATTCTGGCTTTTTGTGCAATGTCAAGAACATTTCATTTGGATTTAAGTGACCCCCTCATGCCCTTGCTAACACATTATTGATCCAGTCTATCCCCCAAGGTGGGCCAGTCTCATTTTGTATGTAAAGGCTATTAAGAGAGGGTATTCTTTTTTTTTTCAATGACCTTGAACCTAAGCCCAAGACCACTGGTTAAGCATTTGAAGTGGCGTCTGCATGAGTGATAACATGTACCTCCTTCTCATAACTATTTCTTTCTTTTGTGTTTTTTTCAGGGCTCAGAAAAAGCTCTCTTGTAGTCTAGAAGACTTGAGAAGTGAATCTATGGATAAGGTCAGCTCATCAACCTATCCTTAAAGATGACTGAGTTACTGTTTTGGGCCTAGCATAGTACTGGGATATATACAGGCAGGTCCTGGTCCCTACCTTGTAGAGGATTTTATAAAGTTGTTGGAGAACCAGGAATTACATGAACATTTTGAGAAAATTAACCAACTGGGTATGGCCCAAAGCATCTTATAGGAAGGACAATTCAGGAGATGCTGCCTGGAATTGATGAGAGAAGATGTTGAGGTCGGCAAAGCTTGGTTAGAGTCTGCCGGGTACCAGCAGGTTTTGGGAAATGGTGGGGAGTAGAACGAGGTAAGGTCAGAGCCATGAGACAGATCAAGCCAGGGAAGATCTTGACTACTAGTCCTATATCCCTGGGGCACTTGGGGACATCATACCAATTTTTTAATGATGAATTAATGTGAATAAAGGAGATGATCCCAAGGGAAGATGTGGGATCTTCAGGATGTTGGAGAGTGAGCTGTTGTAAGAGTCTATGGAGGAGGGTTTTGTGGCTCCTTATATGGGAGTAGCCCTTGATCATGTGGGTGGACCTCATCCTGCAAGGGATAGTAGCAGGCTCTTGAGCTTGGTCATTAGAGACCAAGGGAACCTGCCCTGATAGAGACCCTTCAGTGAGCCTGTGCTGCATACCATCCCTTGGTCTCCAATAATGTTCATCAGCCTCCTTGTTGATACAGTGGAGAACCATAAAGGCTGAAGTTGGCAGGAGCCCTGGGCTTATTCAATGGCTCTGCTCCCGTGGTCACGTGTCTCTTGGTTGCCATGGTCATGTTGCTGGCAGCTGCCCAGGACATCTGTCCATGGAGTGGGATGGGGATCTTTCCTGCCGTGGATGATGATTACTTGACATGAAGATGTGGAGGGAGGGGGTGAGCCTTTCAGATTTAAGCAAACAGGTAGTCCTGAGTTGTTGCTGTTTGTGAATAACACAAGTCTCTTTTTCTCCACATAAACGAAATCCTCTTGTTACTCCATAGTGTATGGATGGGAACCAGCCCTTCCCGGTGGTAGAACCCAAGGTACGTTGACTTCATGCCCCATCGCCTATTTGTGCTTACACTGTTTGCTAGTATTTTAACTTAGCACGTCATAGTTTTCCTAACCTTAAAATGTGCTAACTGTAAGGAGTAAGAGGGCAAGAGGAAAGAAGCAACTTTTCTCTCCCATTTTAATTTTATGTGCACTCAGCTATTTAATATGCTTTCACTACCATTATCTGTGGGACAGGATTTATTATTATCACCTCCATTTTGTAGGCTCAGATAAATTAATCTTTAACAAAGTAATCCAGATTTAATCACTGGGAAGGGGATTGCTACGATCTCAGCACACTGAAGAATGTGATAGCTCTCATCCTTTCTGGACTGATACGTCATGGTTAAAAAAACACGAGTGTATACTCAGTCCCGCTTTGATGAACAAGTCATGTTATAAAAATTTCATTAGGACTGATTTTCTCCAGGGAAGCCTGTCATGGAAGAGGATTAAGTTTTTAGGCCAGTGCACAAATGTTGAGCCCATAAAGAAATGAAGATTCATATCATTAGCATTATTTCAGCCACACCCAACGACCATTTATAACATTATATGGAAAATGTATTGTGAGGCTGATGGCATTTCCCTTCTCTGTCCCCTGCTTCCATGTCCATATGAAACATGGAGCTTCTCATTGCTTTCTGACTTCTGCCTGAGAGGGTCATTTTGTTTTCACATCCATATGGTGAGTCATATGAGGCATCTCTGCTCCTCCACATCTGTGTAAGAGAAAGATCTTTTCTGCACATCTGCATCTATGTAAGGGGCTTCTCTACACTTCCATATTTGTAGCAGTTGGTGCTTCAAGTGGGCAGCCATTCCTTGGGCCATCTGAACTGTACAGCAAAAGTCTTCTGCCTGCTCCCCTGCCCAGGTGCTCTGGAACACAGGCCCTTGAGCCTGGGGTTGGTGTGGTCCCTTTGTGAATTGAAAGGCTTCCTATGGAGACAGCTGTTAAATCGCTCAGCAGTCCCCCCTCCCACCTCAGCTTCACAGAGATCATTCGCAGGTGTTTCTAAAGCACACCTGTAAGTGACCACCTCCTCCTTTGGAAACATGCCCAGCTCACAGGCTCAAGGTTTAAGATGCCAATTTGATTACCAAGAAATATGAGTGATGTGGGACTATTTATAAAGGAAAAAATGCTCCAGATTAAAAGATTAATTCTTATATGGTTTTGACCATAATCACAATCTTATACAACCTCAGTAATTCAACATGGTCACCCCTCTCCCCTCACCCACATACACCACTGTCCTCCCCAGAACTGCTCCACAGGTGCAGAACCGTTCCACAGCCATCTTTCTGCAGCATTCCTAACTTTGGTATCTGGCCCTTGCTTAAACTGGCTCTTGTTTTCTGTGACTGAGAGCTCATTTCATTGTAAGACATCCTTTGTATTCTTTTCTACCTCTGTGAGCTTCTCTAAAATGTGCATCTGCTGATCCTCTCTCTCCGTGTCTAGCCCATGGAAAAAGTCAATCTCCTTTACTTCTGACAGCTCTGGAATTTAAGTCCCTCTTGCCCTCTCTGAGTGCTCTGTTCTCTGTGCTGAACATCACCTTCTCATGTGCATGGATCACAAGCCTTTCCAGCTGCTACTTAGTCTTCTTAGGATCAGCATTAGTTTCTCAATGTATTCTTCAAGTTGTGCCCTGGACCAGACTTGGAGTGTGATATTCTAGATGTAGTCTCACCAGCGCCTGCCTTGGTCTAAGGACTGCTCTTCTAGATTGCTGTTTCTTTAGGCCCTGGGTATGTGATATTTCCTGTGTTTTTCTCCTTATCCACTGTCCACTGTGTGCTAGGCCCTGTGGATATGTTATTTCCTGGCAAACTTGAGGCAGGAATTGTTATTCTCCATTTAGAAATGATCAAACAGAGGTCCTGAGAGGTGGAAGAGAAAGAGCTTTGTCTGAGTTGGTCTGACTCAAAGGCTAGGCCCTTTCCATTCTGGAGTGCTGCTTCTCTGTTCTAATTTAAAGCAGCTGGATAATCAGTTCTATACTACTCCCTTGGCTGGGGCTTCTGTTCCCCCACAGCCAGGAGGATTGTTCTTTTTGGAGACTGGAGAAACAGAACTGGAGTTGAGCATCTGCGTCATGTCCTGACATTGCACTGCCTTCCACATCAGTGAGTCATTTCTTCCTAGCTCTTATTCTTGGCCTGAGCAGAGCTCAGAGAGTCCTTTCCATTGTCACTGATTCATTTTTGCTATCTTTCTTATAGGTCTGGGCTGCCTTTTAAACCCCATCCTTGGGTTAGGTATGTGTTCTCTTTGCATCTCAGCTCCTCAGGGAGTTCCCCCGGTGGCCCACTTGGCTCCTTGGCTGTCTCTACCCCGCCTTGAGGGAGCATACGTGATGATGCAACCAGAAACCTGTTTTTGAGAGCTCTTCCCCCCTCCCATATGTCCTATATAATAGGGAGCTTGGAGTCATGTCCTTCAGGTCTCTAAAATTTTTGAACACTACCTTCTCACAGTCAGTGGTTCCTGGGTTTGACTGCATTAGTATAATCTGAGCTAATCTGAGATGCTTGTTAAAAATATAGACATCTGGGGTGTGCTTCCAGAGGGACTGAATCAGGGACTGGGCACAGGAGGGATCTGGGAATTCATGTTGTTTTACAAGTGCCGCAGGTAATTATGAAGAGCAGCCAGCACATGAACTACCATTTGGAAACTGTGGGTCTTGACCACATGTCTGATCATGTCTAATCTTTATGTCATGGGTCATCACAAACTTGAAAATCTCATGGCCTTCCTCTCTTAAGGTTCTAGTTACTTCTCCTCTACCAGCCAGTTCTTCCAGAATTCTTTCAGAATTCAGTTTCCTCTTCCTGTATCTCTCCTTTCTGAATTATTTTTAGGGAGTTATCGTCAATGAATGAACTGAATCTCAAACAATTTCTAGGACATACATTTATAAGCAAATTGAATTGGAAATATATTGGATATTTGGCTTTTAGCTAAGTGGAACTTCAGAAGATGTCTCAGTCACAGCAGCCTTCCATTACTGTTCTGACTTGTCAGTTTGAAATCTGTTTGTTTTTCATATTACTTTTCTTCTGGATCTAATCAGGTGATCCACAGCTGATTCCTGTAGTGACATTGCTTCAATTTCTCTTTTCTTTTATTCTCACTTTCACAGTACATTCCACTGTGTTTCTCTCGGGTTTGCAGATTTAGAGGCCATTTTATGCCTCTTTACCAAATAAGTGCTATCTCCTTCCTCATTTAATCAACTTGTTTCTTTCGGACCTTTCCATGGCCAGGGTCCAAGCATGGAGCTGGCTGCACTGAGGCTCTACCTCGTGCAGACTGTGATCCTAAGTTCCCAAAAGAGCTCTGTTGACATGTAGTCCTCTGGCCCATTTCTTGTTGTCACCTCCCCCAAGAGTGTGTGTATCTTTATGCTTGCCTTAACATGATGTTTTTAAAGAAGCCATGATCACAATATACGGTTTTTTTCTTCTTTTGCTCCAAATTTAAACTATAATTTCTCTTCTGTACCATAGCCACTCTCAGGCAAGATCCATATCATTTGTGCAGTTGGTCAGGCCCTCACAGATATCTGCCCTTGCCTGGTCTGAGTAAGGGTCCCAGTGAGCAGAAACACCTCTCTCCTCACCACAGAAAAGCAAATCTGGGAGAAACAGACTAGACTGAGCTCAGTTTCCTCTCTTGCAGGATTGTTATTTTACATATATTTGTAGGTATGTATGATAAAGCACTAGGCAGCTTTTATTAGAATGCCAATTTTCTTTTTTTTTTTTTTAATTTATTTATTATTATTATACTTTAAACATACGAGTGCATGTGTCTTTATGGCAGCATAATTTATAATCCTTTGGGTATATACCCAGTAATGGGATGGCTGGGTCATATGGTACATCTAGTTCTAGATCCTTGACGAATCGCCATACTGTTTTCCATAATGGTTGAACTAGTTTACAATCCCACCAACAGTGTAAAAGTGTTCCTATTTCTCCACATCCTCTCCAGCACCTGTTGTTTCCTGACTTTTTAATGATCGCCATTCTAACTGGTATGAGATGGTATCTCATTGTGGTTTTGATTTGCATTTCTCTGATGGCCAGTGATGATGAGCATTTTTTCATGTGTCTGTTGGCTGTATGAATGTCTTCTTTTGAGAAATGTCTGTTCATATCCTTTGCCCACTTTTTGATGGGGTTGTTTGTTTTTTTTCTTGTAAATTTGTTTGAGTTCTTTGTAGGTTCTGGATATTAGCCCTTTGTCAGATGAGTAGATTGCAAAAATTTTCTCCCATTCTGTAGGTTGCCTGTTCACTCTGATGGTAGTTTCTTTTGCTGTGCAGAAGCTCTTTAGTTTAATGAGATCCCATTTGTCAATTTTGGCTTTTGCTGCTGTTGCTTTTGGTGTTTTAGACATGAAGTCTTTGCCCATGCCTATGTCCTGAATGGTACTACCTAGGTTTTCCTCTAGGATTTTTATGGTATTAGGTCTAACATTTAAGTCTCTAATCCATCTTGAATTAATTTTCGTATAAGGAGTAAGGAAAGGATCCAGTTTCAGCTTTCTACTTATGGCTAGCCAATTTTCCCAGCACCATTTATTAAATAGGGAATCCTTTCCCCATTTCTTGTTTCTCTCAGGTTTGTCAAAGATCAAATGGCTGTAGATGTGTGGTATTATTTCTGAGGACTCTGTTCTGTTCCATTGGTCTATATCTCTGTTTTGGTACCAGTACCATGCTGTTTTGGTTACTGTAGCCTTGTAGTATAGTTTGAAGTCAGGTAGCGTGATGCCTCCAGCTTTGTTCTTTTGACTTAGGATTGTCTTGGAGATGTGGGCTCTTTTTTGGTTCCATATGAACTTTAAAGCAGTTTTTTCCAATTCTGTGAAGAAACTCATTGGTAGCTTGTTGGGGATGGCATTGAATCTATAAATTACCTTGGGCAGTATGGCCATTTTCACGATATTGATTCTTCCTATCCATGAGCATGGTATGTTCTTCCATTTGTTTGTGTCCTCTTTTATTTCACTGAGCAGTGGTTTGTAGTTCTCCTTGAAGAGGTCCTTTACATCCCTTGTAAGTTGGATTCCTAGGTATTTGATTCTCTTTGATGCAATTGTGAATGGAAGTTCTTCCTGATTTGGCTCTCTGTTTGTCTGTTACTGGTGTATAAGAATGCTTGTGATTTTTGCACATTCATTTTGTATCCTGAGACTTTGCTGAAGTTGCTTATCAGCTTAAGGAGATTTTGGGCTGAGACAATGGGGTTTTCTAAATATACAATCATGTCATCTGCAAACAGGGACAGTTTGACTTCTTCTTTTCCTAACTGAATACCCTTGATTTCTTTCTCTTGCCTAATTGCCCTAGCCAGAACTTCCAACACTATGTTGAATAGGAGTGGTGAGAGAGGGCATCCCTGTCTTGTGCCAGTTTTCAAAGGGAATTTTTCCAGTTTTTGCCCATTCAGTATGATATTGGCTGTGGGTTTGTCATAAATAGCTCTTATTATTTTGAGGTACGTTCCATCAATACCGAATTTATTGAGCGTTTTTAGCATGAAGGGCTGTTGAATTTTGTCAAAAGCCTTTTCTGCATCTATTGAGATAATCATGTGGTTCTTGTCTTTGGTTCTGTTTATATGCTGGATTATGTTTATTGATTTGCGAATGTTGAACCAGCCTTGCATCCCAGGGATGAAGCCCACTTGATCATGGTGGATAAGCTTTTTGATGTGTTGCTGAATCCGGTTTGCCAGTATTTTATTGAGGATTTTTGCATCGATGTTCATCAGGGATATTGGTCTAAAATTCTCTTTTTTTGTTGTGTCTCTGCCAGGCTTTGGTATCAGGATGATGTTGGCCTCATAAAATGAGTTAGGGAGGATTCCCTCTTTTTCTATTGATTGGAATAGTTTCAGAAGGAATGGTACCACTCCTCCTTGTACCTCTGGTAGAATTCAGCTGTGAATCCATCTGGTCCTGGACTTTTTTTGGTTGGTAGGCTATTAATTATTGCCTCAATTTCAGAGCCTGCTATTGGTCTATTCAGGGATTCAACTTCTTCCTGGTTTAGTCTTGGAAGAGTGAAAGTGTCCAGGAAATTATCCATTTCTTCTAGATTTTCCAGTTTATTTGCGTAGAGGTGTTTATAGTATTCTCTGATGGTAGTTTGTATTTCTGTGGGGTCGGTGGTGATATCCCCTTTATCATTTTTAATTGCGTCGATTTGATTCTTCTCTCTTTTCTTCTTTATTAGTCTTGCTAGTGGTCTGTCAATTTTGTTGATCTTTTCAAAAAACCAACTCCTGGATTCATTGATTTTTTGGAGATTTTTTTGTGTCTCTATCTCCTTCAGTTCTGCTCTGATCTTAGTTATTTCTAGCCTTCTGCTAGCGTTCGAATGTGTTTGCTCTTGCTTCTCTAGTTCTTTTAATTGCGATGTTAGAGTGTCAATTTTAGATCTTTCCTGCTTTCTCTTGTGGGCATCCCTCTACACACTGCTTTAAATGTGTCCCAGAGATTCTGGTATGTTGTATCTTTGTTCTCATTGGTTTCAAAGAACATCTTTATTTCTGCCTTCATTGGGTTATGTACCCAGTAGTCATTCAGGAGCAGGTTGTTCAGTTTCCATGTAGTTGGGCGGTTTTGATTGAGTTTCTTAGTCCTGAGTTCTAGTTTGATTGCACTGTGGTCTGAGAGACAGTTTGTTATAATTTCTGTTCTTGTACATTTGCTGAGGAGTGCTTTACTTCCAATTACGTGGTCGATTTTGGAGTAAGTACGATGTGGTGCTGAGAAGAATGTATATTCTGTTGATTTGAGGTGGAGAGTTCTATAGATGTCTATTAGGTCTGCTTGCTGCAGAGATGAGTTCAATTCCTGGATATCCTTGTTAACTTTCTGTCTCGTTGATCTGTCGAATGTTGACAGTGGAGTGTTGAAGTCTCCCATTATTATTGTATGGGAGTCTAAGTCTCTTTGTAAGTCTCTAAGGACTTGCTTTATGAATCTGGGTGCTCCTGTATTGGGTGCATATATATTTAGGATAGTTAGCTCTTCCTGTTGAATTGATCCCTTTACCATTATGTAATGGCCTTCTTTGTCTCTTTTGATCTTTGATGGTTTAAAGTCTGTTTTATCAGAGACTAGTATTGCAACCCCTGCTTTTTTTTGTTCTCCATTTGCTTGGTAAATCTTCCTCCATCCCTTTATTTTGAGCCTATGTATGTCTCTCCGTGTGAGATTGGTCTCCTGAATACAGCAGACTGATGGGTCTTGACTCTTTATCCAGTTTGCCAGTCTATGTCTTTTAATTGGAGCATTTAGTCCATTTACATTTAAGGTTAAGATTGTTATGTGTGAACTTGATCCTGCCATTATGATATTAACTGGTTATTTTGCTCGTTAGTTGATGTAGTTTCTTCCTAGCCTCAATGGTCTTTACATTTTGGCATGTTTTTGCAATGGCTGGTACCGGTTGTTCCTTTCCATGTTTAGTGCTTCCTTCAGGGTCTCTTGTAAGGCAGGCCTAGTGGTGACAAAATCTCTAAGCATTTGCTTATCTGTAAAGGATTTTATTTCTCCTTCACTTATGAAACTTAGTTTGGCTGGATATGAAATTCTGGGTTGAAAATTCTTTTCTTTAAGAATGTTGAATATTGGCCCCCACTCTCTTCTGGCTTGGAGAGTTTCTGCCGAGAGATCTGCTGTTAGTCTGATGGGCTTCCCTTTGTGGGTAACCCGACCTTTCTCTCTGGCTGCCCTTAAGATTTTTTCCTTCATTTCAACTTTGGTGAATCTGGCAATTATGTGTCTTGGAGTTGCTCTTCTCGAGGAGTATCTTTGTGGCGTTCTCTGTATTTCCTGGATTTGAATGTTGGCCTGCCCTACTAGGTTGGGGAAGTTCTCCTGGATGATATCCTGAAGAGTGTTTTCCAACTTGGTTCCATTTTCCCCCTCACTTTCAGGCACCCCAATCAGACGTAGATTTGGTCTTTTTACATAATCCCATACTTCTTGCAGGCTTTGTTCATTTCTTTTTCTTCTTTTTTCTTTTGGTTTCTCTTCTCGCTTCATTTCATTCATTTGATCCTCAATCGCAGATACTCTTTCTTCCAGTTGATCGAGTCGGTTACTGAAGCTTGTGCATTTGTCACGTATTTCTCGTGTCATGGTTTTCATCTCTTTCATTTCGTTTATGACCTTCTCTGCATTAATTACTCTAGCCATCAATTCTTCCACTTTTTTTTCAAGATTTTTAGTTTCTTTGCGCTGGGTACGTAATTCCTCCTTTAGCTCTGAGAAATTTGATGGACTGAAGCCTTCTTCTCTCATCTCATCAAAGTCATTCTCCGTCCAGCTTTGATCCGTTGCTGGCGATGAGCTGCGCTCCTTTGCCGGGGGAGATGCGCTCTTATTTTTGGAATTTCCAGCTTTTCTGCCCTGCTTTTTCCCCATCTTTGTGGTTTTATCTGCCTCTGGTCTTTGATGATGGTGATGTACTGATGGGGTTTTGGTGTAGGTGTCCTTCCTGTTTGATAGTTTTCCTTCTAACAGTCAGGACCCTCAGCTGTAGGTCTGTTGGAGATTGCTTGAGGTCCACTCCAGACCCTGTTTGCCTGGGTATCAGCAGCAGAGGCTGCAGAAGATAGAATATTTCTGAACAGCGAGTGTACCTGTCTGATTCTTGCTTTGGAAGCTTCCTCTCAGGGGTGTACTCCACCCTGTGAGGTGTGGGGTGTCAGACTGCCCCTAGTGGGGGATGTCTCCCAGTTAGGCTACTCAGGGGTCAGGGACCCACTTGAGCAGGGAGTCCCTTCTCAGATCTCAACCTCCGTGTTGGGAGATCCACTGCTCTCTTCAAAGCTGTCAGACAGAGTCGTTTGTGTCTGCAGAGGTTTCAGCTGTGTTTGTTATTGCCCTGTCCCCAGAGGTGGAGTCTACAGAGACAGGCAGGTTTCCTTGAGCTGCTGTGAGCTCCACCCAGTTCGAGCTTCCCAGCAGCTTTGTTTACCTACTTAAGCCTCAGCAATGGCGGGTGCCCCTCCCCCAGCCTCGCTGCTGCCTTGCCGGTAGATCACAGACTGCTGTGCTAGCAATGAGGGAGGCTCCGTGGGTGTGGGACCCTCCCGGCCAGGTGTGGGATATGATCTCCTGGTGTGCCTGTTTGCTTAAAGCGCAGTATTGGGGTGGGAGTTACCTGATTTTCCAGGTGTTGTGTGTCTCAGTTCCCCTGGCTAGGAAAAGGGATTCCCTTCCCCCTTGCGCTTCCCAGGTGAGGCAATGCCTCGCCCTGCTTCAGCTCTCACTGGTCGGGCTGCAGCAGCTGACCAGCACCGATCGTCCGGCACTCCCCAGTGAGATGAACCCAGTACCTCAGTTGAAAATGCAGAAATCACCGGTCTTCTGTGTCGCTCACGCTGGGAGTTGGAGACTGGAGCTGTTCCTATTCGGCCATCTTGCTCCGCCCCCTAGAATGCCAATTTTCATATCCAAAGAGCTTGCAGAGTCATTCATGGCTGTTAATTCACTGGGTCTCTGAGCACTAGGCCAGACAGCAAAGGCCCCTTTGCAAGACAACTTCACTTCCTATTAGAGGCAGTTGCAGTCAGCCCCAGATTTGCACTTGACTCTGTCCCTGTCTTACTGTGTGGCCTTGGAAAAGTTTCTTCCTTCCTTGGAACTCTGGTCCCTTTTCTCAGACTAGCTAAATAATCTTTGAGGGGTCTTCAAGTCACCATATGTGAAAAATGTCTCTTAGAAAACAGGGAGTTGTTCTGTATCCAAGGATTTCCTAACTGAGGCTGACAGCTAAATCGATATCTCTCTTTTTCTCTCACCTTCCAATAGGACAGCCCTTTCTTGGCGGAGCACAAATATCCCACTTTACCTGGGAAGCTTTCGGGACCCATGCCCAATGGAGAGGCTGCCAAATCTCCTCCCACTGTCTGCCAGCCTGACGCCACGGGGAGCAGCCTGCTGAGGCTGAGTGAGTGTCCAGTCCTGGTGCTGGTGGCCTCTGAGCAGCATCCTTGGCACTTTCCGTGATTGTATAAGATCCCTGCACCTACCACCACAATCCACAGTTGGAGAATGGTGGGGTGGGTGGCTGGAACAAGTTGTACCTTGGGGTGGTCCCACCTCTAGAGGCTCCCCCTGGGTGAGCTGTTTTCTAAGGTAAGCATTCTACAGTCTCAGCAAACCAGGGTGTGTGTATCCCCTACTTCTTTTCAGCTGCAGCTTTTCACCCTCGTTTCCTCTCTTCTTCTCTTCCTCCTCTCGAACCCCTTCCTGTCCTTCCTAGCATTGTTTTCCCTCCTCTCAGATACGCCCTTCTACCCTTCCTGCCCCTCGCGCTTCCTTCCTCTGTCATTCTGATCTTCTCTCTCCTGCCTCCACCTTCTTCTCTGCAGCTTCCCTATTCCCAGTAGGAGGGTATCATGCACTCCAAGTGGGAGCATTTCCTTAGGCAAATGGAGTCAGTGGCCAATGGGCAAGGGTGTCGGTCTACAGGTATCCTTTCGGTGGGTAAGACCTGAAACCACAGAGGCTTTTGCTGCTTTTCATTCAAAACAAGCCATCTTTCCCCACCAGCAGCAGAAGATTCAAAGGGCCCAGGAGGGAACATTCTGGTCCTGGCAGAGTTCTTCCTGAGGCTCCTCAGCCTCAGCTTTTCTCTGAGCTGGCCTATGCATTGGCCTCGTGAAGGCCAGCTCTGCCGTTGGCTGCAGGAACTTCAGATAAGCCCTTGAATGAGTTCTAGTGACACTCAAACTGGACTCACTACGGCTTCAGACTGTTCTAGTGTGAGCTGAGTGAGCCCAGGCACCTGCACAAGAGCTGCCCGTGACCTGGAGTATTCAGCCCCTGCTGCTGTCCCTTCCTTTCCCTGGGTGTGGACACCTCAGCCTGTCACAAAGGGGCACTGGGAGCACTTGGTCCCCTCACATGAAACCTCCTCTCAATGTCAGTCACCACTCACCCCATCCTTCTCCATGGGATTATTTTTCTTTCTGTTTGAGTTTTTCTCTCTTGCTCGATGACACTCTTTTGTTTATTTCTTTGCTTCCCCGTAACTCTGTTGGGCTGGACTTTGGCCTCTCTTGTTTCTTCATGTGGCTTCTCTGCTTCTTGGTTCACTGGAGATCGTGGCCGGAGTGTCAGTGCCCCCGTATTAGGTACTGTACCCATTCCAGGTGAGATGGAGAGTGAGAATGCCTTTGTTTCCCTACCCTAACCCTCCCCCTCACCAACACTCAGCCAGGGTCCCACTACTGCCTGCATTCCTGCATCTCCCTCTGAGGAAAAAGAACAAGCTCCTTGTTGAAATAATCCACAAGTACTTTGGACCCCAAATCCTTAACATTAAAGACATTAGCTCACCTACATTTGAAATATTGAGCACACTAATTTCTCAGCAAGGAAGCCTGGAGTCCCCACTAGTCTCTGGGATCTTGGTATGGAGTTCTGCGCTGAAGGCAGAATTGGGCAGATTCTCTGGACTCCCACTGAAGGGGAGGGCCCAGGCTTGAGGAAGAAGGGTTCCAGAGGCTACATTCACGTTCATTGCCTTCTCCCAATCTCAGGAGACACAGAAAGTGGCTGGGATGACACTGCTGTGGTCAATGATCTCTCATCCACATCATCGGGCACTGAATCAGGTCCTCAGTCTCCTCTAACACCAGATGGTAAACGGAATCCCAAAGGCATTAAGAAGTTCTGGGGAAAGTAAGTTGGTGCTATTGATCCTAATTATATTGCTTTGAATTTTTCTTTTTGATTGGGCAAAGAGTCTATCTAAGCCCCTGGTCCATTAGACATTGAAACAGCAGTCAGAACAGAGTGTTCATGTTTAAAGAGAAGAATCTTAGATATTTTTCAGGGCCAAGAGAAGGAGAAGTATGAAAGGCACCCATTAAATATATCCAGTTGCCTTTTGTGTCATGTATCCTAGGCACCCACCCATTCCACACACCCTGAACATAGTCTCTGCAGCTACATGGGCTTTGGGACAGACATAGATGAGACTGTATTCTCCCTTCTTAGGAGTCAATCTGTTTTAAGAAATCCTTGAAAAATCTTTGAAAGCCAAGTACTTGCTGACCCAACTGATCCACTTTGTGACATGAGGCAGAAACTGGGGCCTCCTACAAGGCATCAAACTTTGCTTTGACCTTTATGGCAAGTGACCAAATCCCAGAGGCAGGATTAGAATTGAGGCTTGAGTCTGGCGGAGGAGCTGCAATAGGTTGTGATCCTTGATCTCTAGGAAGGTACTGAGAAACAATGCTGCCCAGAGTCCCTGTGCTGGCCTGCATGGCCTTGCAAAAGAGGAGGCACAGTGACTGTAGGCTTTCCAACTATTCCATGACAGTCTCCATGGATTCTTCTCCATGCAGAATCCGAAGAACTCAGTCAGGAAATTTCAACACTGACACGCTGGGGATGGCAGAGTTTCGACGAGGTGGGCTCCGGGCAACCGCAGGGCCAAGACTCTCTAGGACCAGGGACTCCAAGGGACAGAAAAGGTAAGGTTCCCTCCAGTCCATCTACAAAAAGTTGTGTAAAATCCCAGCCAGGGTGGAGTGGGGAGAGGGTGCTTGTTGTCCCACAGCCTCCAGAAATAGAAGCCAGGAATCCTTAGTGCAGAGCTTCTCAACTTGCCCATTCAATATGCATGGACGTTGCTCCATGCATGTATGCTGAGGTATGCTGAGGTAAAGATAAGAAGTATGCTGAGGTAAAGATAAGAAGCTCCCTACAGCTGGAGGTAGGGAGCTAGGGTAGAAGGGTGGGCCCTTGGGCCTCCCTGAGCACCTGAACAGTGCTACACACGTATAACCCATTCTCAGCAGTGGGTTTACACACTAGATGGATAGCCTTAGTGTAGCCAGGAAGAGCACAGATTCTAGAATCCCAGGGAATTCCTGGGAATCGCTGCTCAACCACTTCCTAGCTGTGGGCTTTAAACCAGGTTATACAGTATCTCTCTCTATGCCTTCATTTCCTCACTTGTAAAGTAGATGTCAAAAACAATTGTTTTATTAAAGTTATCGTGAGGATTACATGAGCTACTACATGAGCTGTCTGCCATTCAAGAGTCAACAGCCTCTAGTATATTCGGGAAAGTGAGCCTTGTCTCTTACCTGCCTCTGGGTCAGCTCCATCCTGCCACAAAGACTCTGCAGAAAGATGTTGGTGGAGCTGGCCACGCCTGCCACTATTTTTCATAATCCTGTGCCACACTTTACTGTAGGATGTTAACTAAAGGGGGTTACAAAGGGATGGCACTGGAGTCAAAGTGGGAAGTTTCATGTCACTTTTCCCATCATACCTTCATACAAAAGCATAGAAAACGTTAAACTTCTCCAGAGGTGTCCCTGGTGGAAACCCTCCAGTTACTAGCTTTACCCACTTTCCTTTAATCTCCCTGCTCTGAAAAAGAGTATCTCCCCTCAAACCTGCACAGGTGAATCTTTACTACTGTGTTTTGGGGAAACCCCTTTCCATATTCTCTTCCCCAGCCAAGCAGTCCCTACAATAACATCATCTCCAGCACAATATCTCCTAAGTTCTGAGTTACTCAGCCAAGATCAGTACTCCTGAGGGCCTTCCACAGGATTTGAATGTGACATTTTATATCCAACCAAAAAGCAAAAAGTAAGCTGTAACTCTCTTCAGTTTAGTCCCCTCAAGATTGCCGTATACCAGTGGAAAGTACAGGTAGTTGCTGGTTAAGATGCGTATAATTCAAATATCCGTTCTCAGAAATAATACAGTCTAGATTCCAATTAAGGAAGAAAAGCCATTTCCCTAAATGCATCATATTGTTTGCAGACCTGCATCCCCTGTGGAAGGGAGCCTTAGCTTATTTTGCACATGGATATGATACTCCACTTCCCCAGCTTGCCAAACAGGTTTCTAGTCTTACCAGGTCCTCCTGGTGCATGAGACATGGGACCTTTCCAGATCCATTTATTCTTTGAATGAGTATCCCCAGACTCCAGGTACCTTGAAAAGAAACATGAGAATGTGTAGACCACTAGCTTTTACAGGCTAGAGAATCTAAGGACACAGTCTAAGTAAGTCAGAGACCAATTCAGAGCCCTTAGAAAGTGAGCCAGAGAAAGCTTACCTGTATATTCAGTAATTAGATATTCTAATTTACTTAGCAATTTTCTCAATGTAGATATTACTGTTGTTTCTGATTTATGTGAGCTGAAAAAAAATCAAGCTATAGTAAGCTTGAATGATTCATCCTTGTTTGAATTCTGGCTAGTTCTTGAAGGATTGCTTCTAGAAGGGGAATCATTGGGTCAGGGCATAAAAACTTTCCTAAGACCCCTCAGCATTGTCCCTAGAGTAGGAGAGCATGGTTAGGGAGCTCTCTGTATTCTGACAGTCACTTTAGGGTATGGGATGACCAGGGTCAGTAGCTTTCTTTGCCAAAGGAAAAAACTGCAGTTCCAGCCCCAAGGCTGCTTTGTTCGAATGTCTTTCTGCTTTATTAACCGTAACAGTGGATGAGAAAGGGAAGAAGTGTGAAGAGGTCCTGATGAGATTGCTTTGTTTATCGTAACGGTGCAAAATGAATTTGCTGGTGGAAAAGAAAGGCCTTTATAACTCTCAAGTAGAAATTTGATATATGTTAATGTCCCCTGGTAATATTTATAATTTCTAGATATTAATATTTAGGTGTAGCTTTAAAACTGTTGTTGCTAGTATTCTTTAGGAAAAGTACTTTGTTACTGAAAGCCTCCAGCCCCAACCATTTTTTGTTCAATAAAACAATTGATTTTTTAAAAAATATGAGAATTGATAACATTGCGTAGGCACTCTCTTTCAGATTATGGACGAACACATTTTATTTGCTTTCTTCTCCCGGGTAAAGTTTTACAGAGTTACATTCCAGTCAGCACTGCTGGACAGAGTGCGCCTATTACACCCACATCCTTGTCAGCATTAAGTATTTACATTTTTCTTTTTCAAAGTTTTCTACTTTTATGAAACTCCAAATTTCCTTTTTATTGGTAATTTAGTTTTCATGTTTGTCATTTTAATTCTTTTGTGAATTATCTGCATTTTTGTTCATTATTAATGTATTTCTTATAGATTTCTAACTGTTCTCTATTAAGATATTAAGTCATGTCTAATAATTGTGACATAGTATTTTTAGGTTTGTGGCAGAATTTTACTTTTGTTTCTGATACTTTGATACATGGAATTTTTATGTTGATATAGAATTAGGTTTATCCACTTTGTGAATTCTTTCATTTTGTTTTAAATTTTTTCTGTGATTTTTAAAAACTTTGAATAATCCATTTAGGAATTATTTTAGTTTGTGAGTTTATTATGAGTTACTGTTTTTGAGAAAAAGGCAGTAAAGTATAATGTTTAAGGCAAACAGGCTCTCGAGCCACATGGCTGGATCCCATCTTTGCAGAGTGTTTTTTTCCTGAGTTGATCTACTGAGTGTATTGCCCTTCAGGATTCCAGCTTTAGGAGAGGTCCCCAATCCTACTGCTCCCCTACCTTGGACCCCTTTTTGTTTCCTTTTCCTACACGCATAGTGAGTCAGATTCATCATGAATGTAAAGATGCTTAAGCTTCAGGGACCCTCCTTTGTACGGAGCCCTTCCAGGGTCCAGAGAGAGTCTGATCATAGTGTTAACAGGGCCAGGTGTTTTGAAAATTTTGCATAAAAGAGGTATTTTAAATACAACCAGTTTTAAGACTGCTGACTCTTTTTACTGCAACTTTCCCTTGATCTATGCTTTTCCTTATAACAGATGGTGTTAGGGCAGCTGTGGGGATTTTGGGGGACTTGTTAAGGGGAAGTTAGCCTGAGGATACATGTAGTTTGGGTTTAGGGTGGGATGTGTGTGTGTGTGGTTTGCAGTCACTGCATGTTTAGTTTAGTTAGGTTTAATTCACTAGCTTTCCTACTGCACAAATGGCTTCCAGGATTTCTTCTACTTCCCATTGTGCCGATTCGCTCAGTGCTCTGTACTCACTTATGAACTGTACAATTATAAATGTGCCACGTGCTCTCCCCCTACCATGAGAAGAGCATATTTGAGAAATCTCAGCTACATCATTTGAAGTGCAATTTGAAAAGATGTTTTGGAATGTGTCAACAAAACAAATGGTTTGGCTATATATGAAGGGCATCTTCTCTGTCATCTCCAAATTATTTCCCAGCGTGTTCAGTGGTGCCCTGGCTGAGGTGGGAGATGCTGGCACTGAGAGGAGCTGAGGAGGAGGTGCAGAAGCTGGGTCTGATTCTGTGTGAACACTTCAAGGTTTAGGAGGGAGGAGAGGATTCACAAAACAAAAAATGGGAAGACTACTGGAGATGAGGCCCAGAGCTCTAGGTGGTTTTGAAAAGGTCAATAGGACAGAGGTTTTCCAATTATGATCTCAAAAACACTTATTTCCCCTTCAGAGCTGAAATGTTAGGTTCACAAAGACTAGGCAAAAAATAAAAGTTAAAAAATTTAAAAAAGAACTGAAAGGTCCCTTAGATATGTTTGTTTTTCCCACTTCCAAGAAACAAGGAAACAAATGAAATAAAAACCAAATAGAATATAAAACAAAAGTGATAAAATGAACATTGAAATTTGAGAGAAATTACTTTCTTACATTAAAAAACAAATTATAAACAAAAAATCCAGATCATACCAAAAGCATAATTTGCTAAGAGCAAGAGGTAAGTTTTAAACAAAAAACGTGAATAGCCTTCTAGATTGTTGTTCATATAAGATGAATGATATGAACCCACTGGGAAAAGGTTGAAATTTCTTGCTGAGTTTACATGATATACTGACAGTGACAAAGATAACATAAAACTCATGTACTGCCACAAGGACATAGACAACACATGAGTTAAATGAATACTGTCAATTCAAAGAATGTTTAAGATTAGCCATAGCATTAGAAAACTTGAATGCATTATAGTTTTACAACTTACATATAAAAGACATTTGATAGAGGCCTTTCTAAATTTAAATGATTCTAAAAATGTACATGACCATACCAGTTACAAATTGTGAGACAAAACTTTTTAACTATTATCATAAAAGATAAATATTGATCATGTTAGAAGACTAAATCAACCATCTGTTGTCATAGAAAATATTATAAAGTTGTGGACATATAAAGAAGCAGTCAAAGAGTATCCACCCAAAATATGAGAGTCAAAAAGTACTATAGCTGGATACAGTGGCTCAGACCTGTAGTCCCAGCTACTTGGGAGGAGGCAGGAGGATTGCTTGAGCCCAGGAGTTCAAGGCTGTAATAAGCTATGATTACATCACTATACACTCCAGCCTGGGCAGCAGAGCCAGACCCCATCTCTAAAAATAATTAATTACTAAAACCCTGTCTCTAAAATAAATACCCCATCTCTGAAATAACAAATACCCTGTCTCAAAAAAGAATCAAACTATAGAGGTATCTCAAGCTTTTATATAATAAAATATTTCTACATTTTGTGATTTTTTTCAGTTTTGCAAAACTTGCAATTTTTGTGGCTTGTTTTCTAATTCTAAATATTCCCTTTGTTTCTAATTACATATTCAAATTTTATACTTTTTTTGAAGAGAAAATTTGTAAGTTCCAGGCCTCGTAAAACATTTTCAGGACCCATGAAAGCCCAGGTTCCAGATTATGATTGATCAGTCCCTGCCACAGGGTATACATCATCTCTAGCATTTTTTCTAAAATGGGGCATTCTTATCATGCTTATCCTTTAAGGAATTCCCTCACTGTAAGAACAGCTCAACCAGGCATTTAAAAAAATATGTTTTAATCTAGTATGTTAGGGCTACTTTGAAGGACTCTTTCTGGTCTTTGAAGGAATATCTAATCTTCAATATTCTATAAATCCTCATTTATGAACATAAAGTTGCTCTGTCGAATCCCCCCCTAAAAAAAATGACTCTATTGGTATTTTTAGTGTGCTATTATATTCACACTTTAAATGAAAAATGGATGTCTTTAAGAACTGATGGCTTTATAAAACCCAGTCATCCTGTCTAGGAACATAATCTAGCTTTTCATTTATTCATGTCCTTTTTTATGTTGCTCAGTTTACTGTTGTAGTCAATACCTCTCCCCACCCCCGCAGTCCCCACACATAATCACACAAGGCCAAACATCTCTTGTTAAGGCAATTCCTAGACGTTTTATAATGTTGGTTGCTATGAGTGGGATTTTTAAATTGTTTTAACAGCATTAGTATCTGTGCATTGATGGTATTAGAAAATTGTTGATATTTGTATTGTAACATATATGTTACATATGTTTATATGTGCATTTCATAACTGGCCATCTTACTGAGCTTTCTTGGGTTTTCTAAATGGGCAGTCCTGTCATCTGTAAAGAATGGCTTTATTTCTGCCTAATAGCTATACTTCTTGTTCTTATTTATCTCTAATACTGGCTACGACTCTCAGACCAGTGTTATTAGCACTGCTAAAAAACATATTGTCCTTTTATTGAATTTAATGTGAATGTTCCTCTTGTTTTGTTAATAAGTAATGTGTTAGCTGTTGTTGATTGGAAAGTTTTTGCTTTTAGTTTTTGGTGTGTGTTTTTTTTGTTTGTTTGTTTTTGGTTTTTTGGTTTTTTTTTTTTATGTTAAGAGAACTGACCCTCTTAAATGCTAAGAAAACTAGTTTTCTAAGCATTTTCCTAAAAAGATGATTCCGCCTAATGAGGCCACAGTTCTGGGCTTGTGTCATGTATATGTGTGTATGTGCACCCAGGACATGTGAACATGATCTCAGGAGGGTCATACAGGCTGCCCCATTCTCTAAGTAGCCTGAGATTTGAAATTCAGATCTTATGTTATTAAGAAAACTCTAGGGTCTTCCTCCTATGAGTGTGTTGTAGTGGAATTTTGTTCAACAGAATCTCACGATGGAAGTTGTTTGTCAAAAAACAGGTTTTTTGTTTTGTTTTGTGAGACATGATTAGATTCAGAACCTCAGGCTCTCCCACTAACAGGAATATGCTGTTTTCCTGCTTCCCAGTGACGCCAATGCCCCCTTTGCCCAGTGGAGCACAGAGCGTGTGTGTGCATGGCTGGAGGACTTTGGCCTGGCTCAGTATGTGATCTTTGCCAGGCAGTGGGTATCTTCTGGCCACACTTTATTGACAGCCACCCCTCAGGACATGGAAAAGGTAAGGGCTGAGCTTGGGGAGAGGAGGCGCCCATTTCTTCCCAAACCAATGCATGGGGAGGGCAGGGTCCACCACTCCTGTCACACACACAGGAGGATGGATGAAGGAGGGTGATAGTCCCTCTGTAGCTGCAGGTTGGCATCCCAGGGCACGGTGCAGAGATCCACTGCCATACTCTCAGAGCATCTCCACCCACACACAGCTTTCTCTGAGGACCAAATTGCCTGCCAAAATTTCACATGTGGTCTTCATCTTTTAATTTCAGGAGCTAGGAATTAAGCACCCTCTCCACAGGAAGAAGCTTGTTTTAGCAGTGAAAGCCATCAACACCAAACAGGAGGAGAAGTCTGCACTGCTAGACCACATTTGGGTGACACGTAAGGACAGACATATATATATTTTAAGTATGTCTCTGGCAGCAACTAAGGGTAGAAAGAATTTCCCTGTTAAATGGGTACCTCAAGGACAGCTGTCTCCTTGTAAAAGGCAGAGGAATTACTAAACTTTTGGGGGAATAACACGAACCTCAAAATATAATTTGCTCCCCTTTTTTTTTGCATCTACATTCTCTGATTCTCATGAATCCTGACACATCTGGGGTTTTTGTATTTGTAGGGTGGCTTGATGATATTGGCTTACCCCAGTACAAAGACCAGTTTCATGAATCTAGAGTTGACGGACGAATGCTGCAATACCTAACTGTGGTGAGGACTTTTTCTTTCAATTTCAGTTGTCCCTGTGAGCACTCACCTCACATGTACCCATAGTGGTCATTTTAAACTTGATTCCATATATTCTTAAGGCCTTGAAATAGTATCATTTGTCACAAAAGAGGTCCCAAGTAGCAGAGTACAAACCACTGTGATAAGCTATTGGTGTCTCCGCGTGCACCTTCCTGAGATGTGGTTGACTTGTCTATGTTTGGTCTCGTAAGGGACATCAGAGGTCTTTTGTCACTTTGGAAACTCTGGTGTATCAACCAAACTTTCCTCTTTCAGAATGATTTACTCTTCTTAAAAGTCACCAGCCAACTACATCATCTGAGCATCAAATGTGCCATTCACGTGCTGCATGTCAACAAGTTCAACCCCCACTGCCTGCACCGGCGGCCAGCTGATGAGGTGAGACCACAATAGTATCTCTCCAGGTAGCCCTGAACCAGGACCTCCGAAACATCGACCATGAGCAAACAAGAATGACATCATAAAAGCACTGTTTTTTGGATCATGGTGCCTGGGATTCTTTTGTTTGCTTGTGCTTCCTAGTGCCCCAAACACCCATTACCTGTACTTTGTGTCTCACAGTAGCCATAGACCTCTAAGCTCCCACCCTCCACTGGGGAGACACGTGCTATAAAGTCATCATAGTGATTAAGGGAGATGAGTATATGGTGCAAAGGAGAGGGAGACAGAAACAAAAAATGGAAAGATGGGTGTCACAGTAGAAGGGAAGAGACAGAGGAGAGGGAACAGGAGCCCATAGAAGCTAGACATTTCAGAATAGGTATCCCTACTTCTAGATCCAAAATTAACTGACTTCCAGGCCCAGGTACAAGGGATCCATGAGCAGTCTTGCTACAGAAGAAACAGTATAGGAAAATAACAGCACCCCAAGTCATGAAGAAATAACTGATTATGTTCCATGAACTTTGGAGTTCTTGGTGGACCCTCAAACTGCAGATTGTCAGTCACATCCTATCTCCTCTGTTCCTGGGAACTAGGTCTAACCTTGATATAAAATTAACTCAGCTTCCTAGGCTGTTACCTTTGCCATCTATCTCCTATTTTCTCCTTATTCAACCAACATGTTTTGAATGTCTTGTATATGTCAAGCACAGCGCTGTGCATTTTTAAGACCACAGTGCTAGGTGAGAGCACTTAGGAATAAGTATCTTAAGGTGCGCTCCCCTAAAATTGTTGGCCATGCCAGGGAGATCTTTCATCTGTAAACCACTTGGATTGTAATTGACAGTCATCTTTAAAGTTCTATTGAATCACTGAAAGAATAACTATAATGTCCTCATTTATTTGTCTCAAAGTTAGCCAGAAAATGAGGGAGCAACAGAATTCTGGATTCAGATATCTCAGTGTGGAAGATCTTGCAAGATTCAGTGGGAGCTCTGTTTCCTGGAAACTGGGGAGGCTGGTGCTCTGGCAGATGGGGTGGGTCACTAAGCTTGAGGGTCTTCTATTGTTGTGATGCGTCTGGGGCAGGGCTACTTACAGGGGCTGACTCCACAGAGGACCACGGTGGGACCTATTAAGCCTAACTTCCTCACTTTCCTCCCTCTGACAGAGTAACCTTTCTCCTTCAGAAGTTGTACAGTGGTCCAACCACAGAGTGATGGAGTGGTTGCGATCTGTGGACCTGGCAGAGTATGCACCCAATCTTCGAGGGAGTGGAGTCCATGGAGGCCTTATTGTGAGTGGCTCTCTGGCCTAGCCCACCTGCCTTGGTGCAAATGGGATATTCAGAAACTTATTTATTAAGGACAAGACATAAAATCTAACCAAAAAAATAGGTACTTCATCTGAAGCTCTTGCATAATTTGACATCTCAAAGTATTTTGATAACTTGTCCTTGAGAATTAATATACCTCATGGAAGCAAGCTGCCTTCTGGCAGCACCTCCTTGGCATGAGACCTGAGGATTCTAGGTCAATGGGCTGCATGAAGACCAACGCTTACAAGGCAGATCTGCCTGTCCCTGAGTGGGGCTGGGGAAGGGACTGGGAAGCCATAAAAATGCAGCTTCCCACTTGCTGCAGTATGATTCTTATCACTACTCAGATCTGTCAGTGACAAAGCCAGAGGGGAAATGAGGAAGTGTGGTGGCTTGGATGTCATCCAGAGGAGATCCTGAGAGACAGCCTTACCAAAGAGGTCCCAGTTCTCTGCTGCTCTGTGAAAACAAGGTGGTCAGTCAGCAAATGTGCTAGTGTGTGCTCAGAGTCAGGTCCTGTGCCAGCCAGTGAGAGGAGTGGGACTCAGAACAAGTGACTGAGCTCCTGCCCCTGCTCTGGAGGTGCCCCCAGCCCAACAGGCCAATCTCTCGGCATCCTCCCCTCGAGCTATTTGTATTTGCTCCTGGCCAGGTTTGTTTCTGGTTCCTTCTTAGATCCTGGAGCCGCGCTTCACTGGGGACACCCTGGCTATGCTTCTCAATATCCCCCCACAAAAGACGCTCCTCAGGCGCCACCTGACCACCAAGTTCAATGCCCTGATTGGTCCAGAGGCTGAACAGGAAAAGCGAGAGAAGATGGCCTCACCAGCCTACACACCACTGACCACCACAGCCAAAGTCCGGGTGAGTTGCAGACCGTTTCTGAGTGGGCCCTGGGCTGCCTCCTGGCCCTCAGGCAGCACAGCACCTGGCTCGATGCCCGCAGCCAGAGCAGCATGCGCAGCCTGGACAAGGAGGATCTTGCAGCTTCTGCTGTGGTCTTGTGGTCTGTTAGGCCAGTCTTTGTTAAGCCAGTTCTCTACCAGTTTTGAGTCCAAGGAAGACAGTGCAGGTTTCTTTACCTAGAAAATATGTTCAGGAAGCACCTATCCTCAGGTGACTTAGAGCTCACCCTCTACCCCATTGCTGCCGTGACTCATCTTGCGGAGCAGAAGTGCTCCGAGTCTGGCTTTCCTTCGGTCAGGCCTGCCTGCGTGCCGCAATGCCGTGGGATCTTGGCCAAAGCTGTCCTGCTGACATAGGAAGTGTTCCCATTGGAAGCTGGTTCCATTTGTCTTGCTTTGTGACGTGGCCAGCACACAGATACCCGGAGGTCCCAAGGTCTTCCAAGCACCAACACTACTCACTGGGGCTCCCAGAATCCCACAAAGCCCTTTAGACCTGCCTGAGCCACAGCATCCTCAAACCACATTCTTCCCAGACTAAAGACCCACAGGCAACCTCTGGAGGCCAGGCTGGTCCTATCCCTGGTAGTGTTGAGGCTTCATGCCCAGCTATAACTCAGGCAGAGACCTCGTTCCCCAAGGGAGCAGGACAGGAAGTATGTCTGGGGGAGTCAAGCAGAAACAGTGCTGTGTGACGCTAGGGCAGGGAGCAACCTGGGGCTATCCTACATGCCTTTAGATGGTGCCAGGTGCTCAGATGGGAAAGGGTTGGGGTGCCAGTAGCTGTGCTGAGGCAAGTTCTCTGTGCTTCGCCTCAAGTGCAGACGTCAAGTACATTCTAAAGAAACTCCCAGTTCATCTGTGGAAATAAGAAAGTCACTTTGGTGGGGCAGCCAGGCATGAGTTTCTGGCATAGTATTGGAGGGGCAGCTCTTATTGTTCAAGATTATTTACCTGTTGGCCTTTCTGCAGCATATAAATTGCTTACAAGAGCTCTGTTTTGTTCAGAATCTTTCTAGGAGCAGTTTACATCATTCCTCTCCTTGCGGGCCTGCTCTTAAATTTTAATTATATTGTCAGTCATACCTACACACTGCCCTGATTGCCTTCTCATAATCTTACATTTGCTGTGTTTTAGCCAAGGAAACTAGGATTTTCACACTTTGGAAACATAAGAAAAAAGAAGTTTGATGAATCGACGGACTACATTTGCCCAATGGAGCCTAGTGACGGTGTCAGTGACAGTCATAGGGTCTACAGTGGCTACCGGGACCTCAGCCCCCTTGATGCCCCTGAACTGGATGGGCTGGACCAGGTGGGACAGATTAGCTGATGCCCTTGTCACCTGCCCTCTGTGCACCCTGAGAGCTCACAGTAACACTGTGTCACCATATAACTGCACCTCACCCCTGCACATGTGCATGACTCGCAGAGAACATTCCAGCAATTGTGTACCCCTGGGCCAGTCTCTCTTTGAACTCTGAGGGTGGCCAGGATCTGGAGCTGCATCTCTAAGGGGCCAGGCTTTGGGGACCATTGTCAAAGGTGGACTCAGCAGGAAAGACACTTAAAGACACCTTTACATTTCTAGTAAGTCTTGATGTTCATCTTCAGCACCAGTGGAAACACATGAACTTCGATGCAGGTCCAGAGACCATGGACACTCCCACGAGGCTCAGCTCTCAGGCACCCTCTATGCTTCAGTTGAGGGAAAAGCTCAAGTGCCTTAGGCCCGTGGGCCGCAGTCTTGGCTGAGATCAAAGGGATGAGCCACAGGGACTTCTGCCACAGTGACAATGGAATTGTGTTGTGCCTTACTTCAGAGGTGGTCTCTTCTTTCTTGTAATAAAAGCAATATTTATGTGGAAAGCAAGAAGTGCAACATATCTTTAACTTTGTTTGGGAAAGAGAGCTGAGGGTAGCTGGAAATGGAGTCCTACCAATTGCAGAGCTGAAGAGCCGATGGCACTGAGCCTGGTCCTCAGCCAGGTGCAGGCTCAGGATTCACTAGGGGATAGAACAAGGCGGGAACCCCTCCCATAGCCTTCAGAGGAGGTCTGTGACCTCAGTGCTCCAGAATTTGCTTCCCTCTGTGAAGCAGAGGGGGCTTCGTGTCTCATGCACGTCCTGACCATACGGCACATCTGTCGTGCAGACCTCAAAGCTGATTGGTTTTAGTGGCATGAGCTCCCTCAGTGAAGGGGATGGTGGGGAGATAAGAAGGGCACCTTGCTGGAAAGACTCTCTGTTCTTTCATGTGTTTTTCTGGCTTCTCTATTACTGACTTAGCCAGGCTCATAACCATGGTGGGGGCTGGTCTGTCTGCTGGCAGAACTGAAAGAGATCTGTCTCCTTGATTTAGAGGCTGACTGACTGATAATGGCTCCTCCAGATGGGCCTTGTCTGGCTGGGACTGAGGGAGAGACGTGCCTTGCCAGTCTGGGCTCCTGGTCAAGAGACTTTAGTTTGCCCCCAGGCAGCGTTTGGCTCCCCTCAATCCCCTGGGCCTCATCGCAGAAAAGTAACACCACATCACCGCCATCTGATGGCCTGGGCACGGCCTGATGACCCCATTCCATTGTGGCACTCTGATTCTGTCCCAGATGGAGGCTATGCTAAGATTCGCTTCTTAAACTACCAGCAGCCTCAGGCATGGTCTGTTGCCACAGGAGGTGAGAGATGTCGGGACAAGCTTGCCAGCTGGCAATGCTGCTGTTAGATCCTGGTACCCAGGTCCGCTGGATGAGAAGTGGTCATTCAGGCTGACGCCTGGCCATTGGAGTTGTAGAGCCAGTCAGGGCAGGCTTTGTCCCTTGCTTCTTATGTCACAGTACAGGGATCTCTGCATGTGCCTCTTTTCAAAACCTGCATGGAACTGTTTTGCCACTGATTCTCTGCACCCTCAATTAAGTCCTGTTCCCTTTGTGGGCTTCAGTTTTCCTACCTATAAAACAAGGGAGGGGTTACACTTGGTGCCCTCCAAATTTACAGAGGATGTTTCCAAATCTACAGTGTCTAAGTAGGTTTAGGGAAGAAGGAAGAGACCAGCATTACCTGAGAAGGAGGGGCAGGAGGGAGGCTCTTGAGTAGTGAGGAAGGATGCCCACCTATGTCAGGGCATTGGTGTCTGAGCTTCTGTTGCCTGGTTAGTGTGAGTGTGTTTAGCATCCTGAAGGCCTTCATTGCTACTGCTCTCTGCTCCTGGAAATAGCTGGAACATTGAAAACGTGCAGAAGGGCTGCTTCTGACAAGCCTGTGTCCTGCCTCTGTGTACCCTGAATGCCAGTTCCCAGTGGGGCCCCAGGAGAGGTATGCATGCAGTGTGGGACATTGATGCCTCTCCCCAGGAAACAGAAGCAGCCTGTGCTCCACCCACCTGTCACTCCTCAGGGCCCGGCCCCCTCCTTGCCCATCCCTCCAGGGAAGCATGCCCTGGAGAAGCCAGGCTTGAGTATGACAGGACTTGCATGCCATTTCTGTGAATCACGAGCTACGTCCATGTGTGCTGACCAGGCTGCTGCCCATTTTACAGATGGCACCTTCGGAAGGTACCGTGACGCAAATAGGGCTCCTCTCCCAAGACATTCACCGCCTTACGGTAGGACTCTGACCCTCTCCCCCATAGTCAGACTGGTGCTAGGGAGGCCCAGTGAGTTTGGTGTGGTAGTGCACAAGGCCTGGAGAACGGCAAAGAATGGTGCTCAGTGCTGGGGTCACAGCCTGAGCCTGAAACAGCCCCGAGGCAGAAAGCAGCCCAGGGGCCTTCTCTGTTGGCCTGTTACTGGACCTTGAGCCCTTAAGGGCATTGGGGAGGCTCATGGGCTGTTAGCCAAAGCCAGCTAAAGCACACTAGATCTCAGGTCCTCTTCCCAGGCTTAAAGATGAGGAAACCAAAATGCTCAGCAGCTCTGGATCATCTGTCTCAGCAGCCTAGAGCCCAGGCTGCATCCTGTCCTAGTGGACACTTCCACCCTCTGCCCAGAGACAAATGCATTTCCTATGGTGCCTCTGACTTTGTGGGTATCACAAAGTGTTGACAGGCTTGTGAGCACATCTGGCATGCCTGAAAGGACAAACTATATCATGGGGAAGGAGCTTGGCCTTGAAAAGCAATTTTGGAGTGAGGCTCAAGTCTCTGCTCTGACTTCACTAGCTCTGTGACCTGGGGTGTCATTCTCTCCTGAGCTTTGGCTTAGTTATCTGTAAAGCAGGGCTAATGATACCCTCCTTGCCAGGCTTACAGGCAGACTAGAGCCGGCAGGAAAAGGCCAGCCACAGAGCGCAGCCACAGAGCACAGGATTTGTTTTTGAGGACCCATAACTCCCAAGGCCTTTTAGTTCTTGGACATCCCATCACTCAGCCTGTTGGCTGTAGTGTCTGTCCCCATTGAGGCCCCTGTCACTGTACTTTGCTTGCTTGTCTAACAAGGCCCATTGGGAAGACAGGACAATGACAGGGACACACGACTCTCCTTGTATCCAAGGACACAACAGGGAAGTCTCCCTGACTCCAAACAGGATCAGTTTTATTCAACGTTTGTATTTATTGGCCCACCCATGAAAGGAATCTGACCACACTTGCCCTTATGATCTAGTCCTTCGGTGGCCTGAAAATAAAAAATGTATTTCTAAGATGAACAATTTATTTTTATCTTAATAGTATTGTTTATTCTGATCCAATACTCAGGGTTTCTTGGGACACTATAAACACTATACAGTTCACCTGCGTCAGATGCAGCCCTCACCCAGTGCCCTCTAGTTCCCATGCAGCTGCTGCAGGGCAGCCTGGACCAAAACTCTGTTAAACTGACCCTTCGGCTGTGTCCTTTTCAGACAATGCTGAGCCAGGACCAGCTGCTGAATGACTCTCGCCTGCCTGCCCCCGACTCTGATGACTGGAGATGACTTTCTTCATGGCTGAGAGCGTAGGGAGGCATGTGTGGGGGCCCAGAGCCTTTGCTTCTGTGGGGAGCTGGCACACAGCCCTCTCTGCAAGCCCAGTCTGGGCTGGCAGGGTGTCTCAGACAGGGTGCCGACAGGCACGAAGCAGAGCTGTGGGACAGGTGTCCAGGGGTGGCCCCAGGGTCCGTGCGTGTCTTCAACCATGCTGCGCTCTTCACCGCAGGCTTCATACCTTTTGTACTTTTATACATGGTCTGCGGACCACTTTTGTGGGAGGGCAGTGAGATATCAGCACGCAGACTAGATGGCTCATGCTATTCCTGGTGACATCCTGGAGGCTCTCACACCCGAGGAGGAGAGCTGTTAGTTAATAAAACCTGCTGGAAAAAAAGTTCCGAAAAACTGTTTTGAATGTTCTGTAGAGACTGCGTTTTGTGAAATGATCACCGGGAGCTCCCTCCGGCGCTGCTTCACAGGAGCATGCTTTTCCATTCACAGGACTGTGGCCGGGCAAGGCAGGTGTTTAGGGTGTGAGCAGGGAAAGCAACGAGGCCCCTTTCCCACAGCCCTGCCTGACTCTATCTCCCGTCATCTGCAAGGGGTATCTGTGCAACCTCCCAGCTTGGAGCAGAGGCGTCCCCAACACATGCACGCCCTGCCCTTTGCCTCCGCCCAAGCTGACACACAGCCTCCCAGGCCTTGCCCTTGGAGCAGCTCAGGCATAATGTCTGATTAAATAGCTCCCCCAAGTGGAAGGCCCTTGGGCACCTCAAGCTCCGTGTTTCCACCGCAACTCACCAACTTCCCAAACATGTCCGTTTCCTCTCCACTCTTTAGTCTTTCCTCCCTCCAGGCATCTGCTCAGGCCCTTCCCTCGCTGGGGAATGCATTTTTCTCCTAGTCCCCTTCATGAGGCAAAATCCTGTGTCCCAAGGCATGTCAAAGAGACCGTCTCTCAGGAAGCCTTCCCGCATGATCCAGTTACAGGTCAGGTGTCCCACAGTACCGTGTCTGCCCTTGAGCCAGAGCACAGCTCACCTTGAAGTTTCATACCCGTCCTCACCACAAACTTGGAGCACCTGCTCTGGGCTGGTTCCCGTACAGACAGTCCTCCAATTGCCAAGGAGATCCATGCTCCTAAGTTCCCCATCCACCCACTCCTTCACACGTGTGTGTTAAGTACCTTCCATGCCAGGGCTACAGATATAGGCATGAATGCCAAGGTCCCTGCCTGAAGGTGCTTACAGTCTAGTGGAGTACAGACCAGTTTCAAACAAGACTTTGCCAAAGGATACAGATGCTCCAATATTAGTTTCTGCAGCCTAAAAGAGCATGTTATCATTTTTAATGGGGGTTTGGGGAAGGAGTCTGAATAGGTTCCATGGAAGAGGTGACACTTGAATTTGGAAAGATGAATCATATTTTCCCAGGTATGCCAGAGGGGAAGGGCATTCCAGGTAGACAGACTTGAAACAGCGCAGCACAACCTAGGAATTGCCAAAAGTTGGTAGGCTAAAGCAGGGTTTCCTGGCCTCTGTGCTGCTGTCACTTTGGGCTGCGTAATACTCTGTGATGGAGGCTCTCCTGTGGGTTTTAAGACGTTTAGCGGCATCCTTGGTCTCTACCCTCTAGGTGCCAATAAAGGGTAGATGCACCCCTTCTCTAGTTGACAACCAACATGTCTTTGGACTTTGTTATCTGTTCCCTGAGCGGCAAAATCACCCTTAGTTGAAGAACCACTAGGCGAGAGAATGGGGTCAGAGTTGGGGGCCCAGGGAAAGGAAAATCTGACAAAGCAGGAGCCAAATCAAGAAAGGCCTTGGGAGCCAGACCCTGGAGTGCGTCCTGGAGAGAAGGGGTGGCCAGAGTGGGGTCTCCCTTGAAAACAGTGAAGGATCCCCAAGGAGACACTGAACAGGTGGATGGGTGAGGTTGGCCACCCCTCCCTCCCACCCCCACAGACCTTCTGTGAGGTCATCTCTGTGTTTGGCCACCGGAGGGTCAGACACAGCTGTACTTCCGACAGCTCCCCAGAGCCCTGTTCTCTCTCTCCGCTCCCCTCTCCCTCACGCACATGCACACTGAGTAACAAGTCCAGTGACACCAAGTTCCAATGTGGCCGCCATTATGTCAGCTTTTGTGAAAAGGGGAACAACTTAGAATAAACCTGGCCTAGGTTGAAGGCCAGCTTTGCCACCCACTGGTTGAATGACCTGGGAACACAGTCTCCAGGCCTCGGTTTCCTCATCTATAATTTGGAGAACAAAATCCCTACAGAATCTCTGGTTTGTTATGAGACTTCTATGAAGCAGGGCAGAAGCAGCTCTACCCACTCACAGGTAACAGAGCAGCACTGTGTCATCCTGGCCATGAACCGCAGGGGGCCATGTGGTCACTCGTATCGTTTGGGTTTCATGATACTACAAAGGATTTAAGGCAGCTTCTGGAATCTGACTTTGAAAGTTGAGAAGTTTCTGTGTGTAACCACTCCTACCATGACCCCCAGTGCCATGGAGAGATTCTTGAGAGTTGATGTGACCCCACTTGGAGTTTTTTGGGAATTGCCCCTACACTTGACAGTTCTGACCCCCATGGGTATGCAGACGCCAACTCACAGGCCAGGCCATGGCCTCTGACTACCTAGCAGGTCCCCCACAGAGCCACACTTCATGGGCTGTCTGCTTTGTACTTGAGTTTATTTCACAAAACCATGGAGAAAGATACTGAAATGGAGCTCTTTCCAGCCTCCAAGCAAGGAGGCCCCAGCAGCCAGTCTCCAGCCCCTTAAGCCCTTCTTGTTAGGCCCCCACCCAAAAGAGAGGAGAACCAGTGTCTGCGTGAGGGTACCTGGCAAGGCACTTTTGAAAACATCCCAGTTTAACGTGGTGAAACTGAACTTACTCTGAAACAGATGAAAAGGGACATGCAAATTTCCTGAGCACATGGAGGTGTTAGTAGGTGAAAATCATGTCCTGGGTATAACCCAGCTTCTCCAGGTTAGGGTGAGCTGCCGTCTGGATCAGGGGTGGTGGGCCACACACCAGGATGAGCGTGGACTTCCCTGGAGGAGGAAGGTGCTCCTTGATCATGTCGGCAGTAACAAAGCCTGAGCTGTACTTCCAGCCTGAAATGAAGCAGACGCAGGAGAAAGCTGTGGGATGCCAGGTGGAGTTCCTGATCCCAGGCCGCCTATATACCCACCCTCAACCAGGGAGGAGGTGACAAGCTGCTCTACAAAGGCTTAGAAGTCTGTACTACGGCTCCCTGCAAAAAGCCTCAGAACTAGTAAACAGCCCTCTGCAGCAGTCGCCCCAGGTCCCAGGCTCACTGCGGGGACCCTGAAGCCCTGCTGCTGTCAGCTGTCAGCATTAATGAGGAAGGAGAACACAATGAGGTATACCGAGGTGTGTGAATCAATACGGCCGGCTGGAGTTGTCCGGCAGGGTGTGGCCTGGTGTTAGTGGAACTGCTCAGAATTGCTCAGTCGGGTAGTGGCCTCTGCCAACCACGAAGCTGTATGACAAGCAGGTACAGCTGGGCGCAGTGTGAGATGTGCGCCTGTGGGGTGCTCTGTGCACAGTGGTTGCTGGGATGCTGCCTGGGCTGCAGCAGCTATCTGGGGGCTCAGCATGTGAAGATTGCTGTCCAGGCGAGGTGGGTGGTGAGGGGTGTGGTGGCCGTAAGCAGAGGCGTGAGTGGTGAAGGGGTCAGTGCCCATATTAGATGTGTATGTGATGGTGTGTGGAGTGGGTGGGTGTTCAGAGTGGACAGGGGCAGTGTCCCTTTTGATGTTCAGTGCAGTGTGTGGGGTGCTGCTGATGTATTAGACACCTGCTCTTGATTGCCCTTAAAAGCAGGCCATCCCAAATCCTCTCTCCCTCAATTTCTCACATTTCCCACCTGGAGCCAGAGCCCAAGGCTTCACCCCCACATCTGTTCCTATAAAACAAAAACAAAACAAACAGAGACCAGTCCTCAAAGTGGTCAAGGGCTGATGCTGACCCATGGTGGGTGAGGGCACTGGATATCGTACCAATAGGAGGCCTGTCCAGGGTGTACCACAGGTCGAACTGGTCTGGGTGAGTCCTGGCAATTTCTTCAAGCTCTTTTCTGACCAATATATCCTCCTCTGTCTAGAAAAGAAGCAACACTAGAAAAGCCCCTCCAGGGCCATCCTGTTGTTCCCTGGACTGACTACACTGGTCAGCATACTCTTGGCCAAAGCTGCTGCCGCTCCAGCTGGAATGCTTGCTGCCAACTTTCAGGGCAAACAGGAGTTCTGCTGCTGCTCGTGAAGATCAAAACCGTTTGTCTTGTGGATGAAGTTGGTGGTAGGATGTAGGTTCCCATGGAGCTGTAGTGACTGCCTCCAGCTAGAAGGACCTTTGCCAAGCACTGGCCAGGATGGCTTCACGCAGAGCTCCAGCCCTGCCTCCTACATCTACACTGAGCTCTAGCACAGCAAACCTAACTGGAACAAGCTCAGTGCAGGCCCAGGATCTTCTGGAAGAAATGTAATGGGCTCAGAAAGTCCTGTGATAGAACAGTACTGGATATGTGAAGGAGGGGAAAACAGTCTGGAGCCTCATTTGGGGGAAAGGGAACCAAAGCCAAAAATAACCTGTCACAGGCTCAAACGTACTGCACAGAAGACCTGCACAGAACCTTCATGATTCTCATCCCAGTCATTCCACTTCTGGGATTCTGTTTTAGAAAATAATCTAAAAGTAATCAAGCGTAGGCACAATTATTCATCACCATATTATTTATAACTGAAAACAGCCTGAATATAGAAGTTAGATTATAGTGCAACTTGATAAAAACTATGATGAAAATATTTATAAAGCAGTTTAAAGAGAAGAAAATGCCTGTGTGGTAATGCTGAGTGAAAAAAATGCATATATAAATTATAAATATATCGCATATATAGAAAAAAGATTTAAAAAATAAGTAAGTATTTATATTCTGTATTTTCTGAAGTGTCCACTGAGGACATCTGTGATTTTGCACTTAGCAAAAATGTAGCAATACATATTAAGGAAAAAAGGAATGCTTAGTGCTTAGGGTTGGCTGAGGAGACACAAAAGAGTTAAATACATGCAAAAAGCAGGCCTAGACTCAGCTTCCCTGCCAGCAGCCCTGTTGATCCCACTAAGCCCTCCCACAGTCACAGGCACCCAAGCAGCATGAGCTCAGTCAATGGAGGAGAAATGAAAACAAGAGCCCAGCTCAGCAAACATTCCATCCTACCACTGCAAGCTCAGCAGGAACTGACCTGGTTGGCAAAGATGAGGGACATCCTGGTGCTGTCACTGGGGTCCTTGGTGATGTGGCGAATGAGCTGCAACATGGGTGTGATGCCTGGAACATAGTGAGTGGGCAGCCAGCTTTCTCCCTGTCTCTGA